AAACAATTTAACACTTGTTCCTTTGGTAAATCTTTTGGTTAATCCTTTTCTAATGCAGTCAAAGTGTATCTCAGAAAGACAACTGCGTAGTGCTTTCTGTGCAAACAATAAATGTTCCGTCCTTATAGAAAGTAATTATGTTTTCAGTTCAAATTGAAGTTAAAAAGACGATGACAAGATGCAGACAGCAGACAACAGCAAACTCAACTTTTCCATTTCAGTTGTACTAATTTAAAGAAAATCCTCATTAAAAGCAGACCATATCATGCCAATTTTCAGGTAAGACTTTTAGTTTGACACAGTATTGACCTCTGAAAATATGCTTTGCAATGGAATCTCAACACTCAAATGCTAATGTTAATCTTTCCATATAATTATCCAGCCATAGCATGAATAACCAGAGCTGAACATATGAGCCATAAGACTACAGCTTCAAATGCCATCTAGTGCTACTATTGTTACAGCCCCAAGTCTTTGAACAAATGTCAAATACAATTCATTGCACAGACAGAAAGGATAACGGGGGAATTATAAAATGCACACAGGCAATAAGGAGCAGTTGTTTAAATGTCAATTGAAATCCCAACTAACTGCAGCTAACGTTTGATTATAATTGAAAATGATTTGAAGATCCTCAAGGCAGATTACATCACATTGTCTTGGCCTGTTGTGCTTAATTGGGATGGCAGCTTTGGTCAAACTCAGATTTAAAGAATACTTCCGATGTCTTATCTCTAAAATAGTGTTACAGTTTCATGATTTGTGAAGATTCCTAAATTATTGTCTATGTATACAACAAAGGACTGAACACGACAATAAAAATTAGTTTAACTACACAAAGTATTGGCCTTATCCAAAGTATTTGACATGTACATTGCAAATCAATTACAGAAGATGTTGTTTTGCATGCATCCCCATTTATATCTTTGTCTTTGTTACAACAACTCAGTTTCTCCATAACTCCTAAAACAAAACAGCTCTGTCATCCATTTTCTTTTGCTTTATCTGTTGCCGGGTCAGGGAGGCAGCCGGTCTGAGCAGAGACACCCAGACATCCCTATCCAGACACGCTCCATCGGCTCATCCGAGGAAATCCAATTAATCAATCATGATGTTCATTCATTTCAAACACTCTCTCATCCTATTTCTCTCCTGTCACTCACTTTCCTCCTCTTACATCTTACAAGTACTTCTTTCCAAAACAGTTTTTTAAAAATGCAATCAGGTTTGAATCCCGAGGCACGCCGAGGCCAGCTGAGAGACATAGTCCCTCCAGCATGTCTTCCCGGGGGTCTCCTCCGGTGGGACTTTTCTGGACCACCTCACTCTACCGCAAGCTCCTCCCATCTGACCGAGCTCCTCACCCTATCTCTAAGGCAGCGCCCAACCACTCTGGGGAGGACAGTCATTTTGACAGCTTGAATCCATGATCTCGTCCTTTCTGACATTACCCAGGGCTCATGACCATAGGGGAAGTATAGGAACGTGGAATGACAGTAAATTGAGAGCTCTGACTGCAGACACTGCTCCCTCTTCATCACAACAGTCCAGTACAGCGCCCGCTAGGGCTGCACGATATATAAAAAAAATATTGTTTTCGCGATATTGGTGCGTGGGATATACATATCAATAATATCCGCAATAAAAAATGTTAAAAGACAACAAAACAGACAGACACATCAACATTCAACAAGAACAACAAACAAACAATAAAGTATATAAATATATGGTTTTGAAGGTCATTAATGTTGTGCTTATTTTTTTTCTTATTTATCTCTTGCGTTTCAATGCAGATAGCAATTTTAGGTGAAAGACAAAAATATCGCAATAATATCGTTATCGCAATACTAAACACTCATATCATACTAACAACATATCGAATATCGCACTTATTTCCAATATCGTACAGCCCTAGCGCCCGCATCACTGCACAGATCCATCTGTCAATCTCTCACTCCATCCTTCTCTCACTCGTGAACAAGACCTGAGATACTTCAACTTGAGGACTACTTTACAAGTTTTAAGGACTGCATGGGCTACACAAAATCTAAATTAATCACTTGAATTGAGTTGTTTCTTCTAAATGGCAAGTACTCCAGCCGGTCCTGAATCCCGGTGCATTGAGGTTTTGAACTTGAGCGAGATAATGCCAAGTTGCTACATATCAAGCAAAGACAAACAGATAGAGCATAATTACCTATTGATCAATTGTATGTGTTTTACAAAAATGTGCATTGTTAGAAATCACAAAATTGTGAAAATGAAGATTAATATAAAGCAAATGTTCTTCTAAAACAACTTCCAATATGTTTCTCACTGAAATACTCGGTGGTGGGTTAATATTGAGCCCAAGCCCGGAAATTATTTGAAAACACAAAATACAGAGTTTAGTAGCGGCAAAAACTATTATTACGTTTTATATAGACATTTTATTAAGATGTTTTTACAAGGCTTCAAATTTATGATTTTTTCTTGTACAACTTGTTTGCACCATGAGCCAAAGAAAATTCCTAGTTTGTTACTTCCTGTTATTTATAATGAAAATAACCGTAATTCTGAATTTGACTCCACTTGGACCTATCCTATGGGTTTGTTGTTATTTCATTTCCTGTTTCAAACGGTGTGATTCTCTGATCTGTTGCTGAAGATTCGAAAACTTCGTAAAGTCCTCTCGACTGCTGTTGTGATCGAGAGTTACACGTCTCGACTATACGCCATATGCTTTCCAGTTATGGCTCTCTTCGTCATCTCTCTCTAAATAATGAGTGTGATGACAGTGTGTGCATATGTGTGTGACTCAAGCTCGAGGTGCGCCTTAAATTGTGGCCCTTCACCGTATGGATCCACATCAAATACGTTTAGTAAAAGTTGTCATTCGGCCAATCGGCGTACGGGGGCGGTGAGGCTTTCTCGCTCCGGGGCAGAAATGAACACAAATGAGGTAATGTATGTCTGAGCTGGCAACTCTCATTCCACTCACAACACTGCACATTACAAGGGGCGTATCAATTTGTATGCAGTATGTAAAGTCATGATAAGTTTTCAAAAATTGAGTACAGGGCGAGAAAGGGCAACCGTGTTTTGTACCAATTTTGAAAGGGAGGTGATCAGAAGCCAGTTATTATCGTATAAAGAAAATATGATTTTCAGGAAACAGAAATGTGAAACACCCCACTTAAAGTAAAAATGCATATATAATCTTTCAAAAGTGCATCATACTGATACAGCATTTTGTTATTTTCTTTTTCACGTAAAAGCATGTTTTAGTAGTTCATTTATTTTCTATTCAATCATGGAATAACATTGGAATTGCCTACAATTAATCCCAGTTAAACTAATCAAAAGGTTAATTTGTTTTATTCAGCTTGTTACAATCGCATTAGTGGTAACCAGCAGCTGTAACAGTGTGAGATTTCATAACACTTTTAAGCAACTTTTGTTATAGTTAAACTCATCATTCTATCAATGTGCAGAAGCCAGTACTTTTCCCTTGTTTTGTCTATCTGAAGGCCAAGCTACATGGCACCGTGGAAGCTGCTGATTGGAGGTCTCCATGCCTCCGCTCTGTATAATACACTTGCATTCTGTTGTCCGTGTTGTTCTATCGACAATAAAACATGTCTTCTGTCTGAATTAAAGACGCGATCCCAGACTTTGTCATCTTCTTCAACAGTATAGTCAACATGCTTTACAAGAAAAAAAAACGCTAGTCCCCCGTAACACTGTCCCTGATCCCGACCTGTGGCCAGGACTCCCCTGAATAAGAGATTCTGAAAACTCATTGGGATTTCCTGGTTAAGTGACGGTCAATAAAAAATATAAACAAAATGTCTCGAAACAGGCGTACAGGCAGCGCATAGTAACAGTTTGCAGGGGAAGGATTGCAATGGTGGAATGTGGAATAGTGTTTGAATAATATTTTACAAAGTTTACATTGCTTCTGTAGACTATTGTATGAATAATCAAAACCAGATCATTTACAAGAAAACTGGACTGGAAAAATGAAAGGCTACAGCTTAACATTGGAGAGATACTCAAGGCACACATGCTTGGGAAGCACTGATCTCAGCAAATTATGGATACGTTGATCAGCCAACAAAATACCGTCTTATACCATTACTGCCTCTTAGTTTATAGCAAACAGTCTTATTTCGTAGATCTGTTTGAAGTGTGAACTTGGGGAGAATTCTAAAACATATTCCGATTCTACAATGAAAATAGCAAGGTTTGTAATATTGTGATGTGAATATATTGCTTATATGGCCTTCATATAATAATAGTAAGCGCATCCAGTGTTGATGGATGCTGCATGGTGTGACAGGAAGAGGTTCTTTTTCCATTTTTTGCATGAGTGTGGCTCTCATTAACCTGCCCACTCCATCCAGGACCTCAGTGTTAATGAGAAAGAGTTGACTGATAACTAAATTTAATGCCCACCTCCTCAATCCCTAATGGCACCTCTAATGGACGGAGATACAGAGAAGCAGCTCAAATTAACCATAATGTTACGTGGATACAGCCTCCACTTTCCAGCTAACAATTTAACTCAGTATTTCAATTAAACCCTGTCTTTCTGCGTCTCAAAAGGGCATTGTTTGAGCCACTTTGGGAAACGCCATTTTATCTGTAAGTTGTGAATAAATAATAGTGATAAGGCAAGGTGAGACGTTGCGTTTGATTTGTAAATGATTTCTATTCTTGGAGCGGCCACATTCACGCGTTGCCAATGTTATTCCATCGCACTCGTTATACTGCTATGGGTGGGAAAAACTAAAAAAAAACGTGGTGCCAATAAAAGCATCAGCAGCGCAGAAGAAGGAGTCATCTTTACGCAACATTTTGAGTGCGCTCTTTCGCATCGCTCCAGTCCAGTCCAGTCTGCATCCCTTGTATTATTCACTAACGCGGGGTTGGTGGTGGCTGCCTTGACTGTGGCCTGCACGTAGGTAACACAAAAGGCGCATGGATGGAGCCGTTATGGGGGCGCGCAAGTTACTCACCTCCAGCGATGGCGAGCAGAGCCAGCAGCAGAGGCAGCCAGGCGTCAGTCATCATCACCATTATGGCTCGATAGTCCACCCCAAAAGCGCACCGCAGTGACTGAAGACCGCGCTCCCCCTCCTCCTCCTCCCCCTCCTCCTCCTCCCCCTCGCCGCGATGAAGACGCTCGTCTCACTTTCTACCTGGCATGGTGACGTCACGCTGCACGAGTCCTCCAAAAATGTGCAAGAAGAAGACGAAAAAAGAAGAAGAAGAGGAAGAAGAATGAGAACCGACGCTAAAGTGCGCGGTTAGTGTCAAGGAATTGGGAAATAAAAAGTGCTGTGTGAATAGTGGGAGCCCAGGTGCGCGCAGTGGCTCTCTGTGCGTGAGGCGCGAAAGATGCGACGGGGAGGCGAGGAAGGGGGGCGTGGCTGATGGGGTGGATGATGTTGGGGGGGGCGTACCTATGAGGCCTCTCTCTCTCTCTCTCTCTCCCTCTCTCTCTGCCACACATCGTGATGCCAGGATTCTCTCACGCACCAGTCAGACGGAATATTCAGAGCGTTTGTCTTGCTGACCTTGTGAAAGTCAATGGCTTCACGTGTTTACCTCATTCGTCAGGAAATAATAATAAACAGAGGTAGGGTCTTATTTGCCATTGACAACAGGACAGAACTTTTCTCTCTGTTTTTCTTTTCATGCAAATGTATTTATACAGCACAGTTCATACACAAGGCACAACTCAAAGTGCTCTACAATAAAGAAAATAAACATTAAGATAATAGGTTTTCAGATCATAAATAATCACAGTAGACAGTACATTAAAAAGAGTGATGCACAGCTAAACAGAACTCTTTTCAACCTGAACATTTTCAGAGTAGAAGCCTGTCTCACATTTTTGGGAAGACTATTTAAGATTTCATTTTAGATTTAGATTTAGTAAAAATATATATAATGGCAACAACACCACATTGCATCAGCATAAACGGCTCAAAAACCTTGATTCTTACACTGGGCAGCTTACAGTACGTCCACAGATATGACCCATAACTTAGTCTTCATGAATATATCGATGATATCGATTTGGAAACATATCACCATATGGCAAACACTTTTGAATAGCTCCCCAGCAAAAAGCAGACTCTGAAATTAACATAGTAGGACAGAAGTTTTCAAATTTGTTCATTCCTCAACAACAGATCAGAGAATCAAACAGTTCGAACACAGGAAATGTAATAATAACAAACACCATGGTCCATAGGGGATGGGACGACCAATGACCATAAATGTCCTTAAATGCCCTGGATCATCAATGTCCTTAGACCCTCCTGCATCTGCAAGGAACGACTTTTAAACCCCCTTTGAGAAACTTCAGGGAGGTCCACATTGAGAGAGGGGGTTCTGCTCCCACAGACGGGCGGGGGATTGATCAAGGGCTCTGTGAAACGAGGACTGAGCCTGTGTGTGTATATTGTCCACCAAGGTTTCATCTTTGAATATATGTTAGTTGTCCCTCAGTCAATCAGCACATTTTGTATTGCATATTGTTCATTTAGTGTCATGATCCTCCTGTGTTCTCCCCCTCCCCTTGTTTGTGTGTGTGTGTGTGTGTGTGTGTGTCAATCAATCTTGGAGAAGCTTTCACGAGCTGCATTCACTCACCACCTGCAATTCCCGGCTCTTCCACCATTCCCTGCCAGTTTGTCAGTGTGCTCTCTGGATATTTTCCCGACCTGTACCTATGGACCCAGCCCTGTTACTTACCTGCACCGATACCTACCAGCACCCAGCCTCTGCACCCCTGGACCCCACTGCCCGACACCTAACTGCACCCCTGGACCCCATTGCCCGACACCTAACTGCACCCCTGGACCCCACTGCCCGACACCTAACTGCACCCCTGGACCCCATTGCCCGACACCTACCTGCACCTCTGGACCCCACTGCCCGACACCTAACTGCACCCCTGGACCCCATTGCCCGACACCTACCTGCACCTCTGGACCCCACTGCCCGACACCCACCTGCATCTCTGGACCCAACCTCTACGCCCCTGGACCCCCCATCCAAACCCTCACTTGTAATACATTTTTTCATCTTCAACTGTGTTTGGTTGTGCTCTTGGGTTCTTCCTGTTCCCGTAAAACATTTAGAGCCACTATTTTACTGTGTGGTGTGTTGGTTTTTGGAACTGCACCAACAGTATCTCCAATCGAAACACTTTCTCCAAGAAGAGCCATGGATTAAATATCTAAGTTATTTTTCTCCCTTGCATACCCTATTTTACCCATGAATGATGATATTTCCTGTTTAATACAGAACAGTTATTGGAGTTAATACTTTCATGTTAAAAAGAAAGATCTACCCTGAAAATGTATGCAATGTAAGGCAAGGTAATTTTATTTGTACAGCAGTTCATTCACAAGACAACTCAAACTGCTTCAAAAAAGGTAAATCATACAAGAACATTAAAAATCATCAGTACATTAAGAGTTTGGATACAATCTTGCCGTTCTATGCAAAGCTAAACAACAATGATACATTTGTTAATTGTAGAAGTAGAAGCCTATCCCTGAGTTCTGGATCTTTAGCCTGTCCGCACGTGGCAGCAAGTCCCATTCTCAATGTGGGCCTCCCCAAGGTTTCGCTTTTTTTTAAAAATATAATAAATATAACAAAAAAAATACTGGGAGTCGGTCCTTGCAGATGCAAAAGGACCTGCTCACCTCTGTTCACCTGTCCTTGAATAGCCTACAGTATATGTATGTGAATTATAGACCACTTCAAGCTGACCTCAGCGTATCTCATTCAGTTTAATACTGCGGCACACAGTGTTATAAAGATCCCATCATCGAGTTAGGAATGAGCGCTCTTACTCACACACTACCTAAGAGCCGCTTTCATTCTTCAGATTGCAGTGTAATGCAATGACTGTACACTCCCCCAGCAAAGTTAAAACCATAATGCGTTCAAAAACCAACTGGCAACACGTTGAGATGCTGAGGGGTGAGAAATTCGGGACGGGGGGAGGGGGGAGTATTGCGGCACAGGCAGGGGTACAGGGCACACACGTTTGGTAAGCAGAGACAAAGAAGCGTGGGCGTGAGGCGATGTGGGCATGGGATGGGCCAGTCACTGTAAAAAAGTAAACAGGCAGGAAGAGAGAGAGAGAGAGAGTGAGAAGAGAGAGAGAGAGAAGAGAGAGAGAGGAGAGGGTGCATGCAGGCGGTTGCCGTGGCGACCGAGAGAAAGCACAAAGCGACCTGTTTCTCCTTCAATTTGTCTATTTCCATCGCAGCACACACACAGACACACACACACCGGAAGACACACTTCTTGTGCATTGGAACACACAAACGCGCTATATGCATGTTGTGCTATCTTTATCCTGCTGGCTGCACAGTCCTTCCCTCTCTCAACATCTCCCTCTCCTCTGCAGTGAATGAGCTGACCTGACAGTGCTCCTCCTCTGCTCTGAGTGCTCCGAGTCGCTCACTAAATTATTGAAAAGCTGGGACCCCCACGAGTGCTTGTCTTCCCCTTGCACAGCCCTCCCTGCACCCTTGCTTCTCCTCGTTCCTCCTCCTCCCTCCTCCTCGCTCGGTCCCTTTTTCCTCCCCTCTTGTCATTGCGTCTCCGGGCAGTGGCTATTGCACAGGTCTCTCTCACGTCTCACCATTACTGTAATAAGTAAATATGATGCATGGTCATGAATGTATTCATGGAGGTACTTGAAGAGATAGAACTTGATGAAGTGGAGATGGTGTTTAACTGTTTTTTGTTGGCACTTAATGAGTGGAAATGATGTCAATAGTATGCTGGCATTGAACAAGGGAAGCTATTAGTTATTCATAATTTCTTGAATCCTGTTCTCTCCAAAAATGTCTTCGTCAAGATGCCTCTTTGGACTGAGAACTGACTGGCTGCTTCAAGGGTAATCCATTGTGCTTATATTTGGTACCAACTGTTCCCATTATGAATCACAATAAATAACAGTGTTATACTTCGCTTAAGTGCTCTTTAAGAAATGTTTTTATTCTAAACTTTTTTAATTGACTTTTATTAAGTGCCATGATCTAAGGGTTCCTGTATGAGATTGATCTCCTTGTCTTGTACCAATAATACATGTTGTTTGCAAAAAAATACCTAAAAATGGTTGTAGTTATTTTGGCTTACTACCAAAATAACAAAAAAATATGACAATTAATACATGTAGTTTCAGATTCTCTCTTGAAATTACCATACTTTTCAATGGCAACTTACAATGTGAAACTGATGCTTGCAAAGTGAGATATATTGACCCTTTGTTGTTATAATGTTGATAATTTACTCACAGCTTGTAAAAACCCCAAATAAAACATCTCAGAAAAGTAAGGCAGTAAGTCATAAGCATCAAAATCATAACAATCAAAGGCTTTTCATATCTCAATTTGCATGTTCTGAGGCCAAATCATTTCAGGTTGAAACACAGAAATACACTAACTCTGGGATGTTCAGAGTTTCGCCTAAATCTATCACTCACGGCAAATATTGTGCAATCGGTCTGTACAGGTTTATTTATCGGCACTTGGGGAAATGTTCTTGCCTGGTGGTGGCACATGTTGACATTTGAGTGAAGAGTAAGGACCTGGGGGACATATAATAGCTGAAGAAGTTGAAGTTATTTCTGAGATGGACATGGATGGACAGGATTTGACAGTTGAAAATTAGGGCAGCGGTTTATTTTGAGAGAGGTCAGAACATGATAGTGTGGATATGCCCGTACGGAAGGGTTGGTAAATGTATAGCAAAAAAAACAAAACAGGCTGAGGTTAGAGCAGCCAGACAAGGAGCCAAAAGGAAAAGCAAAGTGAGATTTATGGTGATGGCGGTCATTGTTTGTTCGCATTTATGACCTGTGGTGTAGCAGGATGCCTTGATTTAAAATGGTGGAACACAAAAGAGGTTTGGCTGAAACTTCAACACGCTAATTACTTCATTGTCTTGAACACACGTCTGTCTTTGTCTTGTCCATTGCACCCAGACCAGAAAGGAAGGGTCAAAAAGGGACAAATCTACAAAAGAATTATGGAAACTGCAATTCTTGAACAACAATGAGAAACCCCACACCCGAGTAGAACCATTCAGCCAAGTAAAATAAAAAAGGTCAATTGATAATCTTGGTTCAATTTAACCCAAAACTTCAAAGTTATACAAATTATACACATTCTATTTGTAAAGTTTGTTGCTGTTTTGTAAAAGGGAACTCCCAGGAAGCTGCATTAGCTTGTAGGCGGGGAAATAAGTTGATTAATAAGATAAGATAGACTTTATTGATCTCATTTGGCATAGATAGAATCACTCAGATTGTGCAAAAGACAGAAGTGTGCAAACCTGTAAAAGGTTAAAAATACAGTCTGTGCAGGATATTATTATTGGCAATAAAAGAAAGAGAGGCAATGGCAGTGCAGGTTTTTCAGTGATGGTGGATTTGATCAGGACCATTAGAGCAGATTTTGTCCTGTTTTATATGTTTTTATTGGGAGGGGAATCCGGAGCAGCTGGAGGAAACCTACTCAGAGACGGGGAGAACATGCAAACTCCACTCTTAAAGGCCTGGTTTCTGACCTGTTTACTGTGAAGTGAGAGCGCTAACCACTCTGCTACCATGCCTTCATCGCTTGTATTTGTGAAGTTTGTGGCTTCCTGCTAGTCCCTAACCCAATCCTTTAGAAAAATGAATCAGATGAGCTCTTACACAAACTTATCCTCCACGATCAAGTCTGGTTTGTGTAAGGGAAGAAATTGCATTCAATTGAATAAAAATGACCAACATTCTGGACAAAACGACTGCAGCGATCTCGATTGATGCCCAGAAAGCCATCAATCAGGACCGATGTTATAGTTTTACAATGTTCCAGGAAGGGTATAGGTTTCAAGTTTTTAATATTAACTTAAAAATCACTATACAATATAAAACATGATACAATCCCCCTTTCAATGTTGACGTGGTACAAAACAGGGTTGTCCTTTCTCGCCTATACTCTTTCTACATCTTTTTATTTACATGCTGGAACCTGTCGTATACAAACAGACAGGTGGATACTCAGGCTACATTACAGGTCAGATCTGTGAAGACGTGCATTATTCAGTCTTTGAAATGATATAAGCTGTTATTGGACAAATACAAAAGGCATGTTTAAGGCCATACAGAGAAACATTCCAAGCGAAACAACATACAGTAATTTTTGTTTCTACTGTATGTTATGCTAAAGTCAGAGAATCTTATACTTAATCCTTGCTTCTGTATTATGCTAAAGTTGGAGATGCTAGACTTTCACATATCTTTTGCTGTGTGCTCCTACTGTTCTGTAACTGTTGATGCAAAACTGGAATTTCCCCACTGTGGGACGAATTAAGGATCTCTGAATGTTAATCTTCATGAGAAAATGCAGATATCTCATTCAACATAAAAGTTACTCAGTTCCCATACACAAACCAAGTGCTGATCATGCTGTGGGGGGTGCATCACAACCACAGTTATTCGCAGCTTTTTTCATATCAGTCCTTTCTCTCTCTCTCTCTCTCTCTCTCTCTTTTCATTGGAGACATGGCCCTACCTCTCTCTTCTAACTAATCACCATGGCAACCTGGTAATCCCTGTACAGAAAAATCCGGTCTGCTCTCTATCTCTGTGACACACGAGCCGCACACACATGGATGCACAGGGCCCATTCACGCTTGCATGCGCGCCTGCCGCCTTCTCACAAATGAACCCAAAGATGTACGGAAAGCATTGCGGCCAAGGCTCTGGTGTCCTCTGGTGCAGGGCCCTCCCAGCACACATGGAGGAAACAAAAGGATGAGGCTTATTTTGGGTTAAATCCATAGCTATTTGGGTCTGCGTTCATTCTGCATGTGTTTTGCTATGGCATATTCTCCTGGCATTTACTGTATTGTGTATTGTTACTGTATATTTGCACTAGTGTCATACAAAGGAGACGTCAATGCGGATTGTGTATTACATTTTTATGTATTTAACCATTATTCAACCAGGAAAGTCTCACTGAGATTAAGAACCTCTTTTTCAAAGGAATTCTGGACAATTTGCACAATTTGTTTTATTGTGCGATTGTCCGATAAAACAGAAAGTAAAAAAACAAAAGTTGCTATGTTGCCATGGCAGTGTTCTTTCTGCGGCAGATGTGTGTATGCGTCTGTGGAGTGTTTGTATGCATAGGGTTGCGTGAGAGCGTGTGTTAGCTGTAATTGATTTCACACTCAGGTCAATGGCTTCACGGCTACGAGAGCAAAAACACATACATCCACTCTGGTAAGTACCTTATATCTTTTCCTGTGCAGTTAGCTTTCACTGCTGGCATTTCTAATAATAACACGCTGTCACTTTGTTGTTACAGTGGAATCTGTTTTATTGAAGAGAAAGTTTTCATACAGACATTCATAACATGAGCCACACGTCAGCATTTTTTACATACAATTGGCGATAAGCTTCATTGACAAGTACAAGAACCAAATGGATTTTTACGTTATTGTTAGAAATATCAAGGTGAATGTCGGTTACTTTGTAAAGTGTGAAGAAAGAGGTTTTTTTCCAGAGCAAGGACCACAATTAGACCTGTCACTTCTCACCCCATTTGATTCTTAATTGGACGGAATACATTTTAATTCTTGATACACACACAAGGCTCCTTGCCATTGGTCTAACTATTCTCCTCCAGCAAATCTTATTGGTGGTGGTTACACCAAGGAGAGGGACTGTAATGAATTTTGTTTTTTACTTTTTGTGGTACTACATGGCCATCCAGGCAATACAAATTAAATTGCAGACATCACCTTTAAATCCACAACTTTCTGTTTCCATTAAATCATGCAGAAAGTTATGTATTGGTACTTAAACAACTTTAAACAAAGTGGAGTTTGAATTGGAAACATAGCAAATGTAAAAAATATATTTATTTTGTTTATCAGTGGTAACAAAGAAGACATTGAACTTAAGATTTTGTCTCAAGTGAGAAGGTTACAGAGATAACAGTTCAACAAATGTGCAATCGAAAAAAAAAAAATCTGTCACTATTTTGTTTGTGTTGCTGAAAAGTCCCATCTTCAAGACTCATACAGAAAAGTCATCTCAAAACAAAAGTGGAAATACTGAAATTGCCAAGTAGAAATCCTTGAGTAGAAGTTTACACATATTAGTGTTTTGCCAGTTTTCTAACTTTATACATTGATCATATATCTTGCAAAAATGTATAATCTAACTTTCAAAATTGTAATTGAAAAAGCCCCATAACATTTATAATATCGACACTTTGTAACCCCTTAAAGCGTGGAGGCTTTTGCTGAGCAAGCTGCTTAGTGTTTGTGGCCGTCCCACTACAGTACAGTACGAGTTATAGAATCAATACATCCCTTTCTCTCCACTGACGCTGTGGCTTGCAAATGATCATGATTTCCTCCAAAGATCAATGAAGTGATGGACAGGTAGAATTGATGAAAGAATATACTCCAATCGCATATCGATCGCACAGACTGGGCTCTGGCTGTAAGTGCCATGTTGGTAATTGTTTATATCAGCAGCTCAGTGTGAAGATGTGTACTCAGGATACGTAAAGCTTTCTAACAGTGCCCAAACTCTGATCAGATTGATTACATTGCTTTATGAATGATGGACATTGAAAGGAGACGCCACAGTTTTAATAATGGCTTGATATTGACCTTTACACTTTATCATTGTCACACAATTCAAAGCGCTGTCTCTCGATGTGTTTACTATATACAGAGTTTGTACAAATGTGCAAATTGGTGCTTTATGTTTCTTGATTTTGCTTGCCTCCTCCTCACTGTTGTCTTGGGAGCGGATGCTGCAGGGTCATGTGCTCGGCTCCGTTAAAAGGCAGTCTGTGGATGCAGTAGTGATGTACCAGCTCAGGGATAGACGAGAACACACAGCTACTCTGATCCAGCGTAAAGCCCAGACCTTTGCTGGTCTTGGTCTGAGCCACAATGATGTGTACACAACTGTGGCTGGTCCTGAACACACACAGAGCTACAGTAATCAGTGTCAAGAGAACTGTTGATCCAAGAAAAAGTGCAATGTTTTCACTTCAATGAATGAAAGCAAGACAACAAATGTGCAGCAGGCGGACTCCCACACAAAAAGACAAGATGTCTGCCTCCGAAAGGTCATTAATATAAAAATGTGTATATTTGAAATATGTTGATGATTCAGTTTGGATGAAGACTGACATGTTTGTGACTGAGAGCTATTTTTAGAATCAGTAGTTTGATGGGTTGAACAGTGTGATGCAGCAGAAAAAGACAGGCTCTATAAATAAAAGTGTACATGTTGCATTATGAAGTGCTTGTGTCCTGCCCTCAGAAAGCACACACTGTGATACTCCTATTGTGCACTCACTTCAGAGCGATGGAATACTTGCTGGTTCCGGATTCGCTGTCTCTCACCAGGAAGCTGGCCTCCCTGCAGCGCTGCAGCTGAGCCTCAGCCTGCTGCCGGCTCACACTGCTGTGGTACCAGCTCCAGGGGCGAGCGAGGCAGTGCGGAGAGGAGGAAAGAGAGCACAAACACAAGATCACTGACATATAGCACACTGACATATGGAGATCAGTCAAATGTCAAGTCAATGATACACAGCGATGGCAAAACACAAGTGGAGTACTGTATGGTGACGCACAGCCAAGTCTGACTCACACTGTGTAACAATCAGCATAGGGCGGGCGATATGGCAAAAAAGTAAAATCTCGATTTTATTTCCTGTTTTGGACGATTTCGATTTTAAATTGATTTTCATTAATGTCACCATAGACAGACTTTACCCTTAAAAATATTTTTTGATCTCAATGTTCAAGTTTCAAAATTATTTTTAATTTGTTTCAATACATATTATAAAAGTCGTCTACAGACTGTGCTGATATTGCAAGTATAATTCATGTGCTGCTGGAACTCTCACAATATCCTTCATTCGATTTCACAATTTTCACATTATTCACAAATTCAATTTTTTCAAAAGCCGATTAATTGCCTGAATTCGATTTATTGCCCAGCCCTAAATCAGCATGAGTGAAACAAGTCACAGGTGACAAACCTGAAAAGTACAGTCACAGACTCTGCACAAGAACATGTGCAGCACAAGGTGCTAATGGCTAAAGGCTTAGTCTGTGTATAAACATAATGCTTCATGCATGAGCAGTTCTGCAGTTCTGGCATTATGTCAGCGCCCTCAGCCTGTTTTCTATGTTTTTAACAGACTTCTATTCACACTTAGCTCATAATGTAATGCCCTTCATATTTAGGCTGGGACATAATTATGGACATTAACAACAAATAGCTTCTGTTTTCATGCAACAAACCACATGGGAGATGAACTAGTGCTTCTCTTACCTCTGCTTCTCCAGGGGCACGCTAGGATCCACTCGGGCTGTGTCTCCGTCTGGCGGGGTCCCAGGTGAGGAGGGAGAAGGGGGAGACAGTTTGTTTGAGCTGGAGGAGGGTGACAGGGGAAGAGGTTTCAGTGTGGAGAAGGACGAGGAGGGGGCAGTGAGAGGGGAAAGTTTGAGGATGGGAGACGATGGAAATGAGGGAGTGGAAGACACAAGAGTCTTAGTCCAGTTCTTCTGCCGGGCTCTGCTGCTGGAACTGTTCTCTTTGCTGGCCGAACAATCCACAGCCTCAAATTGAGCTGAATCATCAGAAGATAAACAATTTAGTTCAGTTACAAGTAAATATAGAACGTAACTGAACTAAGTACCTGATAGAGCTCGAACAATGTCCTCCTTCCTCCACTCCCAGGGCAGCTCGTATTCCCCGGCTGGCCGCACGTCAGACTCAGGCCGGGACACTGGGATCCACACGCCCTCGCTCTCTGGGCCCTCATAAGGAGTGTCATATATGTTCAGAGCCGGGGACCCCTCTTTAGACTTCCCCTTTGTCTGAGCCCGGTCCAGCAGCACACACACTTTAAGCAGATCCTTGGAGCCTCGTCTGCGCACTTCTGCAACACATTTGATTTAATGATTTAGGACCCCAAAGCATACTCTTGATCCGTTACAAATATTAAAACCAAACATGGCAGCATTATAGTCATTTTGCATAGACTACAGTGATTAGTGTTTAAAGAGAAAATAATGTTGAATTGACAGTGTGAAATAAATAATTGAATTGATTATCTACAGTATGTTCAGTCATTATATGAGTAGAATAATTCATTCAAGATTCTGAATTGACAATCACACAGCTTGACTTGCATGTTAATACTTGTTGAACTCAACCTTGAATTGCTTTTTTCTATTCTCCGTCCATTGTTTTGGTTATGAATAAGTCTCTACATTTCAGGGAATTTTTTACACTGTATTTTTTCTCTGTCTGACAGGTAGCCTCTGTGTCTGCACCATTGTGCGACCAAACAATGGAGCTACAGGAAGAAAAGGTCAACACGGCTGCTGATTGGCTGACAGCCGGGCCCGCTTCCTGACTGCTGGGAAATGATTGGGTTAAAAGTGACATTATTTTATAAGGTGTTTGTACGTGTCGCTGTGTGTACATGAGAGGGCGGTCAGGGGCCCACTTCCTATCTGGAGAATGGGGCAAAGGAAGCACAGGCAAGAGACAGGAAGCTGGAAGAGGAAGCTGCGCCCATTGTCCCTGCACAACACTGTTTCTATAGTAACCAGCAGAGGCGAGAGGGCAGACCATGAGGGGGTCAAGTCAAAACACTTATAAACGAAAATGTGATGGCCGCTGCTCCCATAGTATCTTAATACACAATAATTTACATATAAATCTGTTTGGAAATCATGTCAAGGCCAGATGTTGCCATACTTTCTAGAAATCGTGGAGGAAACAAGCGTGACAATAGTTATATTTACACACAATTTATTTTTTTAAATAATATCAATAATAATAATTTTAAATAATAAACTACTTATTTAGCAGTTTTCATGACACCCAAATTCATTCACTCTGTAATCTGTGCCACCAATCATTCACACTCCCCCACACACCAGACTCATGCCAGACACAAGGACACAACAGTTTGGCTATTTAAATTCCCATCCCAGAGGTCTCCCATCACAGTATTAACCAGGCCCTGCTCAGCTTAACTTCATAGGTCTAACAGAATAAGGTTTTCACAGCAGATCGAGCCACTTTTTTTTTTTCTGTAGGGAATGACTAATACTGTATCTGTATTTGCAATAAAAGATAAATAAGATATTCTTAATGTGGACAGTGATATACAAAAGAAATCTGTGAGGTTACATTTAGGGTTTCTTTTATGCTCAAAGAAGACAAATGTAGTCACTTACCCGTAATAATAACCTGTGCATCATAAGGCTCCATGTATCCATCATTGACTCCGGCTCGCTCTGCTTCTCTCTGCTCTTTGGTTTTCTCGGCATCAAAAGGATCAGCGTAATCTTCTAGAATGATCAACTGAAGGCACAGACACAAACACATAAAACAAAGACAACAACCATTCATAAAAGTTCAATGGACAACTTTCCAGCTGTGGGTTTTTTGCACTGAAGGTTTCACTGTACCTGGCATTAAAACAGTAACAATATGCACCAGACCACATAACACTATATTCAAAGAAGAAAAATCTCTATGGATAGAAAAAAAAGTGGTAGACACTCCAACAGAAAACGCAATACGTGCAGCCTTAAACGTCCAACTTAAGAGGAGGACCACTAATATAACATTCTAAGGACGTTGTGTCTGTGACTGAGAGGCAAGAAAACCGGAAATGCATGTGCAAGGAGGTCAGCTCATTGTACAGCCTGTTTAATGAAACACAGAGCAATGAAACTGCCTTGTTCTCCTTTGATAGCGCTGGTAATTTGATCTTGTGAGCTGTTTTGATTCAAGAATTAAAATGAAATCAAAGTCAAAATGTATGGATTAAAAACAACTTAAATCATTCCAGGCAGTGCTATCAAAATAAATCTTTATTAAATGGCTTAATTTACATGAACCACATGTGAACTGATGCTGACATCTATTTAACAGTATTTGGAATAATTTCAACCAAATTTAATTCAAATCGCCTAAAGTTTAATGTCTACGCTTATATTTGTTACTCTGATCTTTGAGTTCAGGGTCTGGATATCAAACATAATTAACAGAATTATCAATCAGAATATTATCCCAAGAACTCACCTATCGTCTTCCACTATAGCAAAACTATATAAATCAGGGGTTAAAACCAAATTGCACAGAATTTCACATAAAACGGAAATATGGTCCAAACCAAAGTGGTGTTAAGATTAAGAGATTAAGTGTTAAAGAGTAGAGATTGAGAAATGACATATTTATGTAAGATTGAAGTTTAAGCTTATCCCCAGCACATTGCCTATACTCCCAGTTGTAACCAGAGCTGAGAGAATGATATAAGAAACTTTAAACTGGGAATTCTCTCACCGTAGTTTTAATATCTGTTTTTGTCTTGTCGTTCTCGGGCTGTGTGCCTTGCTTGTCCTTGGTCCCTTTGAGTTTGCTGCTCTTGTCCTGCTGCTTGTCCACTTTGATCATGCGGCTGATGTAGGCTTGAGCCAGACTGGAGCTCCTGACCTGCCGCTGCTCCTCTGGTGAAACCCCTGCTTCAACTTTGGAGTTTTTGCGACTTTTTCCAGAGGTCAAGCTGTCCCAGACCGTTCCCCCGGATCCTGTGGTGTTTCGTCCCAACTCTGCAGCTGAGTTTTTCCTGTTTCTGCCAGCTAAAAGGCCCCCCACACCTCCGTCTTTCCTCGGAGAACCTTTGAGACTGTCCCGAGCGAAGGAGGGTTTGGATCTGGTCTGAGGGCCAGACTCAGAGGCAGAGCGTGCACGTTCATTCGCATTTTTCAAGTTAATGGGGAAATCTTTAAACCACTTTGCCATAACGATGTCTAAAGTTCTCACTATATGTATATCTTCAGTCTTGCAGAGCTGAAACTTTTTGTGCCAATGTTATGTGCAAGATATGCTTCTACAATAACTAATAAAACAACCTTCACTTGACTATTTCAGAAAAGTGAAATGATGCACCAAAGGAGGAGAGAGGCGAGAGGCTGTGGTCACTTGAAACAGCTATCCCTGCAGTTTGAAACGATACTTCTTCAAAGCATAAAGTCGAAAAAAGTCATAGTTTTTCTTAGAGCCCAGTGAGGATCCCATTCCCTTTGAGTGAAGCGGTGAGTCCAGTTTGTGCCTGAGGGAAAGACAAAGTGAAAAGGCAAAGTAAAGTTGTGAGCAGGAGATGTTCCAATAGAGAGGAGTGGCTGAGGATAGGAGAGGCGGGCTCAGGAGGACTGCAGCTTTGGTTATTAGAAGGAAAGAAATTGACCAAAACCTTTCGAAAGCAGATGATTGATTTCTCTGGTGGGCTGATATTCATCATAATATACCATCAGGTGGTGTGGGGAATACATAAAGATGTTGTAAAAGTTGATATTACAACATTTTCATATTGGTCCATAGGGGGGTGGATGACCAAACATAATTTATATATCTTTTGCTTTTCAATATGTGGCATTGTATTTAACTGCACATGCGCACAGAAGGGTTAAAATGTTAACAATTATGTTGGTGTCATGTCACTATCAATAACCTAAAAGTTAGAAGTAGACCAAAAGGGACATTTTTGGACAATGATGTATGTGTTTAATGCAATAATGTAAAGAGTAAAGCCAAAAGAACATTTCACAAACAGGATCAGACACTCCTCCAGGTCAAGATGGGGTCAGGTTTGTGGAGATGCAAGCCCACTCACTGAACACTTGAAGTTGGTCAACTTCACGGTGACATTTGTTGTGACATTTGTTTACTGTTTTTAAAATTTGTTTTATTTTTGTCTTTTAATGTTGTTTTGTGTCTGTACTTGTCCTGTGCACACGGGGAACTTTTACAAATATATTCCAATGTGGTGTATACATACTGCAAATGGCGAATAAAATGAATCTGAATCTGAATCTGAATCTAAAAACAATCAACGTGAAAATGTGTAAAGCGGGATTTTAACTAGTGTGCAGTTTTATAGTTTAGGTTGTACAATAGCAAGCTATATGTACAAAATATAGAGTGACAGAATTTGTCTTTGTAACATTGGCTCATTTGTGGAAGGTGTAGTCTGACAACATCCTTTACAAAAAAATATCTAATATCCATGTTCCCCCCATACATTGCCTCACCTAAGTGAAGAACATGTATTTTAAACATAGATATTTTTGTTCCATCCTGGACCCTGGCCTTTTCTTACCTCCATCAAACGAACCCATCAAGTTTATAGCTGCGCCATCTTGTGACAGATGTCATACAAATCATTGCATCAAATCACGATTTGTAAATTGGGTTGCTTTTGATGAAGCAATATCAAAATAAAATTAAATATACACGTTTTATTACATGTTTGGGGATTTGTAGGGAACGGGTTTTGAAACCACATTAGAAACTACAATAAAACTCATAAAGAAATAAACAATGCGAGCAAATAATTGACAGCGTATATTAGCCAATAAGCAGCCGGCACTGACTTTTCTTTTCCGCCTTGCGAAGCACTTTTAGCCAATCACGAAGCTCCGTTTGGCTGTGGTGGGCGGGACAGTCACATCCCACACAGAGGTAACAGGTTGCTCGTCGCTCAATGAACTTTAACGTCTTCAGCCACTTTTCCCACAGCACTCTCTCCATGTAGCCAAGTTTTATAAAGCCGTACGCGTCTTAAGGATACAACAATCCTAGGAAAATCAATAGGAAAACTTGCGGAACCAAGGTGAGTTTTGTACTATTTGGAGTATTTTTGCAACCAGAGATATGGATGCGTCCCAAACAGAAGAGCAGACAAGCAAGTATTTTAGCTGTTTTGAAGTCAATGTCCAGCTTTTACATTCGATTTACGAACGATTTTCACGTGACAAGTCGTTTATCCGCGTTACAACCGTTGTGGCATCAGTGTGCGTTGTTTATCATCCTTAAAAGGCATGTTGTTGAGTGGTGCATCCTAATCCTAGTGCTCACAAAACTGAAAAGTGTTTTATAACTAGCTGTTGTTTTATGTTGCACCTGTTTCCCCCAAAGGACTTCATGCTGGAAAAATACATTTGTGACTTTTAATTAGTTGTCTTGTATAGATTTTTGAGGTTACCCATAATTATACTCTATTATGCTTTGGGTAATGTTGTAGGTAGATAGCTAATGATCTAAACTATTCAACCTTAAAAGCAGGACTGGAAAGATTTGTCACTTAATAATCTAATATGATTAATCCTAGTTTATTTTGATATCTGACACTCATACATGCTTATCAAGACTGCTGCATTTGGTTTGTTAGACCAACATTATCTTAGCCATTGCAAATTTGCCTTGTTATCAAGTTGAAAATCACAGAGGAAAATAAACAAATCAGTGGACAGGTGCTGGAATGTGGGATATGTATAGAGTCTTTTATCATCACCCCTTTAAAATAACCGAAAGCCAAAGAGACAGAATTGTGACTGTCTGGAATGTGGCATATGGGAAGACCTTTTTACTTTACCAGTAAATCCTCTGTCATTTGTGTACGATTTAGCAATGTCTGAAGTATGTCCTTCTTTGTCATGCGAATAAAGTGGAGTGGTGTGGATAAATGGGTGTTTGTTTGAGCTGAAAGTGGAGCAGAGGTAAGTTTGGAGAGACAGAGAAAGATTGACTTGTGGACAGGGGGGAGAGGCTGCAGAGGAGAGAGGAAATACCCCAGGGACCAGAACTGTCCCGTACCATGAAGCACTCCTTTGTCCGGCTGTTACTTAAACCCTCCTGTCCTCTTCTACTGTATATAATCATTCATCTGTGAGCAACACTTTTATAGTAGTTTCTTTATTATGGGCTGTATAACGTTGTGTTTTATGATTGATAGGTTACAAAGACTAACCCTAACCCTATTTTTTTGTTGATATTAAACAAAAGAGAAGACTCAGGACACGCTGGAGGAACTCTTAGTTGGCCTGTGAACGCCTTAGGATATCTAAACTGCAGGACGTTTGCTTGGGTATGGGGTGTCTGTCTGGGTCTGTGAAATAATAATAATCGTATAATAGACACACTAATGTCTAATATATATTTTTTCATCATTCCTGTTTTGTGATGTGGGCGTATATGTTTATAAACTACTTGTAGAGTAGACGTTTCAAATTTAGAACCACTAAACTCTTAAACATAAGCAAACATATGTATAATTTAAATGTATATGATACCTATAATGTTGACAGGTCAGACAGGCTGGTAAAAATGAGTGTGCAACATAACTCACGTCCTTGTTAGTGATACAGGTGTGAGAACAGGCAAAGCTTTAACATCTGACAGAAATTTCAGCCTCATCCTCATTTGTTTGGAAAATGGAAAATAGCAACCAAAATATTCAATTACACTTGAAAAGAAAGCACACTGGTATTGGTTACAGGCTAAACCTTCTTGTAATCCTTTAATTTTGTTCACTTTCATCAAATTAGTTATTTATTTCAGCAGGGCCACAAATGGTTGCAAATGGTGTCTTTCGGCGTTCGTGTAATAATGAATGAATTGACATTGTAGTCAAGACCAAAATGCGCAAGAAAGGAACAAAATGTGTCATTCTAATATCGGTCATGTTGGTCAGAGAGATAGAGATAGTTAGTTGCATTCTCAGAATCACTGGCCTTGTTTTCCGCCCCACATCAGGGGAACAATGGGATGGGCTCCCCCTTTGCCCTGGACCTCTGAGAACTAGGACTTCTGCTTGTGATGCTCCAGTCCTCTGGTCCACAGGCCTGTCATGACAATGCGTTGCTAAACCTTATAATGTACAATATTAAACCACTATGCAAGAATGTTGTGAGAAAAAACTCAAATGACAGATGCAAGTCTAAAAGCAAAGTTTGTCTTGCTGAGGCAGGAGGGTCTAGGAACAGTAATGATCTGGGACATTTATGGACACGGGTCATCCACCCGCATGGACCAATGGCTGCTATGTGCATTTCCTATGTTTGAACGTACAAATATAATTATAATGCATTCTATATAGCGCTTTTTTGGACACTCAAAGATGCTTTACATGTCATTATTCATTCACTCCATACACGGTGGTGATAAACTACTACTGTAGCCACAGCTGCCCTGGGGCACACTGACAGAAGCGAGGCAACCAGTATGTGCCATCGGCCCCTCCGACTACCACTAACCATTCACACACACCAGACTCATTCTAGGCAATGGGGGTGAAGTGTCTTTAGGCCTGTCGCGATATTCAATAAATCGATTAATCGCATGAAAATTAATATAAGCTCAATAATTTTTCTGCCGCTATGAATGCAATTTGCATGCTTGTTTTGTTTTCCTCGTCGTGGAGGTGAATTTTGCTTTCCATCAGGCGAATCTTGGACCAATTATTTGAATTTTTGAAAGTATGGAATCTTCCATCAATTTTCTTCCCCTTAATCCATTTCTGGGTCGGGGGGGTGGCAGTCAGAGCTGCACCCAGTCACAGAGCACCAGCCCCTCACTGATCCTCCTGCAGGTGGTGAGTCCACAGGAGCTGAGATCTATCAGTGGGGGCTTCGGGCAAAGTGGGGTTAAGTGTCTTGCCCAAGGACACAACAACAGCAGTCATCAGTGGGAGTCGTGAAGTAGGTCTTATGGTGGGCTTGAACCCACGACCTTCAGGCTCAAAGGCCAATTCTCTACCAACTGAGCTACTGTCGTATGGAATCTTGACAAAAGGAAATGTATTGAAGCTGTGATAATTATTCCATCGGGTCTTTTTGTATTGTGCCAAACGCGTCAAATCATCCCAGTTCATCTATTTATGTATCTATCCAGCTCTATCTGCTCATCTGATTGAGGAAAAAAGGCACTTAAGTTGTCTCATAATTGGATACCGAAAGCTCTTTTTTTTTATCAGCATATTGCAAAGAGTAAAACAAAATGTTCTTTTAGGCTTGGACAGTTTTCTGAGTTTCTCATGTTGAGCTGAGGCTCCACGCTCCGATGCCCAAACTCGCTGTGACACAGGCCTTCCCCTGTGTTTCCCAAAGTCCCCGAAAAGTGACCCAAGAGTTAAATAAAGTCAGTCTCTGCTTTGGACAAACATCCATGTAAATGCAAGCGTTTTATTTGAAATCAGTATCTATCAGTCAGAAATAAAGTTGACTCAATATCGTTGTCCACAGTTGTTGGATCCACTGTGGAGTTGTTTGAGTGGTACCTTTTCCTGTTGTGCTGATCTGTTTTTTAACTGGAAGGAGATTCAATGGGGGGAAATCATTGATTGCTTTATATTAGTGCTGTCCAAAATATCGCGTTATTAACGTTATTAGTGTTATTAGTTATCGCAAATCAATATTAACGGTGTCATTTTTTTTATCGCGCAATTTTTTTTTTTTTTTTTTTTTTTTTTTTTACTTTTTATTGCAGACAAACACATATACAGAAAAAAAATAGAAACAAAGAAAAGGACTAGTTCAGATACATTGTAGACAGAGTGTGACGGAGCGGGTCCGTCTGTAGTTACGTGCGCGGACTGAGTTTTAAAGTAAAGGCTGACTTTAGTGCCGCATGCGCCACACGCGCACCTGCACACACACACACACACACACGTCATTCCAAATGCGCGCACCCTTTTTTTCCCTCTGTTCCATTAATGCTTAACATCCACACGCATCATCCATACTCTTGTCCCTCTCTTCCCTCAGTTACTAGTTCGCCCAGGGGTGCACACTGTGCGGGCTAGAAATACATTTAAGCATACATTCATACACGTACCGGTCTGTCGCGCTCCTCTGCATCTGTGCGCGAGGATCAAACCAGGACCATACTTCCTGGTGGGTTAAATGCGCCCTGGGAGCGTGGGGAATTGTCCCCAAGATTAAATGTACTTATAATGGCCTAATGTTTCATTGTAGAGTATAGTTTTATGTGTTGGACCAATAGGGAATGGGTCCATATATGTATTCTCTGTTTATACGTCCCATTTGTAATAATTTATTTTGCTCAATGGGAGGGGCAAAGGGGACTATAAAGGAGAGCCGTGTCTGGCACCCGTCAGTCTGCCGCTGGTCACAGAGGAGGTAACTACCTGGACTCATTAAAGGTGACCTATGTGTCCGAGTGGACCTGTTGTTTTTTTCTGCTAAATTCACTGTACATATGCTCTGCACTGCCTGCACCAATTTTTATGCACTTTGGGGAAAATAAAAACACAAATAATCACTGCAATCCGAGCTCGCCTGTATTTTTTTCTGAAGTAACCCACGACACAGAGATTACAAACAATATGTAGTTGGAGATACAGGGGGCCAAAGAAGAAACCCAGAAGGGCACATAGGAGGGAGGGGGGACATGAAGTGGGAGATGGGAGGGAGGGGTTAATAAAAAAGGCAGTACAAGCAAACAGTATACAGTCATAGATATACCGAAAGTAAACAGAGAAACAGCATAGAGTATTGACATGAACAAATTTACAAAATATTTACAGATTGTTTATCATCATCATAATGACACCATGATGTTTCTATACAGTCTATGGTCTATACCCACACATACACACACACAAATGTGTGACTAATTTGCGATTAATCGCAAGTTAACTATGAAATTCATGCGATTAATCGTGATTAAATATTTTAATCGTTGGACAGCACTACTTTATATATTTACAGTTGGAATCAAATAAAATAAAAAATATACAGTTTGAGTTCACATTTTATCAAATACTAAGAAGCATATTGTCTTTAAACTACAGGGTAAGCAGGTTTCATTCTTACACCATATAGATACAGGATAATCTTTGCAGAGGAGCTTTTGTTCCCAAAATAATTCCCACAGTTTAAAAATGTATGTATGGCATATTCAAGATTATCTGTTCAGAGAACCTTTTATTTTCTCAAATGTGGTTAATCAATGTGCCTTATGTGAAACTACAACCTTGAAGAAAATGCAGTAGCAATAAATACACACCTAACGGCAACCATTTTGGTTGAAGGCAAAATGTATTAAATGTAACATTCTTTCACAATAGTTGACCCCAGAATGAAGGTTGTACGTGCACAGCTATTATTGTTGTAATTGCAGCTTCCTGCAGAATGTCTCTTGCCCCTCCAGTGCTGGTGTGGGCAAGAGACCGCAGACACTTGACTTTATCTGCATGAAGCACTGATAAGAGCACAGAGAGAGCTTTTCTCTGCCTCTCTCACCTTCAAACACTGGAGGTGCAAATGAAAGGTGATAAAGTTATGGGGGGAGCAGTGTGCTAGTTTTATGTCAAATGAACCATGCCTGTGTAATGACGTGGATAATATGCCCTCTTTTGTGACCCCCAAACACTGGGAAAATGTATTACGTAATGTGTTTCCCGGCTGCAAACGGTATCTGAAAAGCTGTTTCAATACTGGATAAAATAGTTTCACAATTACTCATGATCAAGTCATAATCAGAGTCCAAGACTGTGAGGATTATGGAGGAGGCTTATAACGGGAAGAAATAGGAACACACTTTTGACACTGTTAATAATATCTTAGAAGCGGTTTTGATACTATGGAGGAAAATGCAGTTGGGATATGGTGATATACCAACTTGGTAGTAGGTATATTATTAACTATATAACTACAACTACCAATGTTCATTAATATAACAAAAACCATTCTATTAAGTATGGATACAAAATTTCCAAAGATAGTGGCTGAGCACCTTTTTGTTGTTTTATTTGTGGAGTTGCAAGTTTCTCCTCCAAGGTTTCTCACTTTTTCCCACTGGGTTTTTTAAGAGTTTTTCCTTGTCGATGCAGGAGGGTCTTGTTGGACAGTTAGTGTCCAACAGAAAGGATTGGTGATGATCAGGACACTTTAGCATTCTACAACATGTATGGACATTTTCTTCTGTGTGTGCTTTATACTGTATTCTTCATGTGTTTTAACTGTTGATTCTCTGACCTGTGTTGGTGATTTCAATGGTTTTGTTAAGTCCTCTGAGATGACTTCTGTTGTGACCTAGGGCTATACAAGAATAAATTGTATTGTATTGTAAAAGCAGTTGGAGGGAAAGTGATCTGTGGGTGTGTGTTTCAGGTTAATGACTAATGGAACCGTGAGAGCAAAGTCCGCGCAGGTCGTCACAAGCCCGAAACTTCAGCTGCAAATGTCTTTCTGTTTACACACACTCAACAAACTAAAGAAATGCAGACTTTGTATTTCACTCACTTTGCTAGAAAACAACAAAGAATATAGATTAAGCACAACCTCTTGTTCTTCTCGGACTGAACTAAATAGTGAAAAATGTAATCATTTTCTTGAATTCTTGTTATTTGGTCAAATTTAGGGGTGTACTGATCCAGCTTTTTCAGTTTGAGCTAGGCGATTATTTTGTTATTAATGTCCATTTTCAATATTTATAATTTTTTATTATTGAAATCCAATAGTGAACCTAACGGTAGTCAATAAATTATGAATATAATTGGTTTCTCTAAATTGTTTGAGATTGTGATATTTGAATTTTTGGCACAGCTCCCGACATTGAAAATTAAGCTTTGAGAAATGTTGACAGCTTCCTGTTTAGTAACATGTCATGTCTTATCACAAAGTGGATCTAAATGTGTCTTTTGAAGTCTTTCGAGTCATGTAAGTAACTTTGTACGTAATCCTCTACAGTAACTCAATCCCTGTCTTTTGTTTTCCGCAGAATGAGCACGCCCTCCTCGGGCCGTAAAACCCCGGTGGACTACGGCGTTCAGATCCGCTTCATCAACGACCTCCAGGATGGACGCCAGCCGGGGCAGCCCCCTCGCACCAAGTCTCAATCCCCCTCCAAGTACGGCGTGGCGGTGCGGGTCCAGGGCATTGCGGGGCAGCCATACGTGGTGCTGAAGGACGGCCAGAAGGGAGACTCATACGGTGTCCAGCTCAGGCCAGACTACCCCTCCGGTTACGGCAGCCTGCCCCGCCAAAAAGACAAGTCAGACTCCAGAGCGTATGGAGAGAACGCGGACAGCCAGGCGGGGGCGCTGCGGAGGGCACAGTCGCACGGATCACTCTTGGATAGGGACACGGAGACGCAAGATTTCCACTTATCCAGACTCCCAGCTGAGGGGAAGTCCGGCAGCAATGGAAACCTAGATGGAGGGACGGCTTTCAGGGTCAGCAGTAGAAATGGGAGCGCTGAGAGAAATACACGCATTTTTAATGACACAAACAAGCAAACGAACAATAACCGACATCAGGATTGCACTGCTCCCCCACCGTACCCGCCTCCTCCCTCCACGCAAGCTGTCGGCCAAAGTCACGAGTGGACAGGGAGGCGCACCGCTGCAGACGCACAAGTAAGTACACCGCTGCTGAACGGCAATCATCTGCACACGGTTTGTGGAAGTCCCGTGCACCATGTGGAAGAGAAGTTGTCTGATCTGTGTGTTAAGGTGACGCCTGACCTTTTGCTGGACCAGGGGCAGAGTGCAGAGGCCAGCGACGAGCAGCGGATGATGCAGACAGTCTACAGCATCCTCAGAGAGGGGTAAAGCGTCTTCCCATGGGGCGGGATGCCCAACTTTTTATTTTTCATTAAATATACATTTTATTTGTTCCAGCAGAAACAAACCTTGTAAAAATATCTGCTACTTGCCCAATACCTTTGTGCTTTGCGGGTGGTAAGGTCACATGCCATGGACCTAATGCACACAATTCATAACCGTCAAAGAAAAGCCTTATATTACCTTTTCATAAGCCTTCAAAGAAGTATACTCACCAAGACCAAAGCTTGAGAATAAATGTACCTTATTTGTTGATTTTGAAAAACGTGGGGAAAAGCTCTCCTCACATATATCGTTACAGAGGAGTGAGATTCTGAAAATGGCCAGTAGATGGCGACCAAGTCTATTGTTAGTGTATTAATTTGCTGCAATTTTACCAAAGCTTTTCAAGTCATTAGCAGATATTTCTGAGGTTTCTGCCAAGCAATTTTCTAAAGGAAATCATACATTTGAAGTTTTTCATTTTTTAGGACAAATGAGAGCGATGTTGTCATCAGACACAAAGTGAAGATCATCCTTCAGAGCTTCAAGGTGAGTTTGTTTTCAGTTTTTTATCTTAATTATTCTGTCCTGTTTACTTAAAATGTTCAAATGTGTTCTTATAGCTCAAAGAAAAAGATTTGACAAGTGAGAGATTGGAGCTGCAAAGAAAAGTGGCGGAGCTCCAGCTGACCCTGCAGCAGGAGCGAAGGGTATGTCAGATCTGAAAGGGACATAACCTACAGATCAATTCTTCTCAATTTTTGGTCGTGTTATACTTTTTACACACTCAAACCAATTTTTACTGCAATTCGTGCATGTGTGAGTTATCATATGCATGTACATGTGCCACCATTGCTTTCCCCTCAGTCTTCCCCCTAAGTTCTCTGACAAAAAGTCCTCCCCTGGGTTTTACTCCTTATTTTTTCCAATAAAAAAGAATGTATCAATGATATGCGGTGGATTGATCCGCCTCGCACGGACATTTTGCATGAAAGAAAAGCACATAGAATCTTTGTCTCGTAGCCATTGATGTGAGAATGTTTTCCTGGTGCCCCCATCAAATGGGCGGAGCTAAAGGATAAAATGAGACTGAGGGAGGAGGTACTGGACTTATCCTTTTATTAATCATTGTTTTCACTCAATTTAAAGATTTCATATTAACTATATATTTAAATGAGGTCCACAGGGGTCTTATCGTATTATAGAGAGAGGAATCGGGTTATGTCCCCTTTAAATGCAAAAAGGACTTGACTGGATATATGCAAAATAAATTGCGAGCTAAACAAAGGTTGTTCTGATCTTTTTAATTTAGGTTCCATTTGGTTTCTTCTTTTAAATCTGAACATTAAGATGATCACTTAAAAAGAGAACAACATTGAAAATGATCCATTGCGTGGTCCACTTTCTGGCTTCACTGACATTATTGTATGTTGGTCTTGAGGCTTAGGCAGAGATGTCCTGGTCAGTGATGGGCATGTTAAACCACAGTGATGTCTGATGTTGCTGACATTCTGAATGTAACCTGCCACTTTACCCGGCTCTAATTACACAGATCATGCACAGTGTAATTTTGTAAGTGCCATCTCAGACTCAGCAAAACACAGGACCAAACACATTAATAATATATATTGTTCCCCTGGTCTTAATTTAGCTGTTGATTGGAAGTATTTTATTTTGTGCCAATCTGAAGTGCTTTCTTAGAGTGCGCTTGAGATTAATCCACAGATTAATCTTTAAATCACTCTTGTCTGGGAAAATGTGCAGACACTCATCCAGGCTCAATAAAGACTCATTATCCTGGTTTTTGGAAGTTATGCAGTTCCTAATCTCGTGTATCTCTTAAGAACTTAATCTATTATGCATTATTGATTAGTGTGCACCTGCCAAACTTCTCCTGCCTACAATCCCATTGTTTTTGAAACACAAGTAGAGGTTCACTTCTTTAACACAATACAACAAAATAATGGGGGAAAATATCTCATTATTAGTATATGACAACCTTTTAAAAGTGTTTGGCTTTTTACATGATAAGAAGGTCTCCAATGTTTCCCAAAATGGAATAATCAAACTAAAGGGATGTATAATGTACACTCTTTGTGGTCCTGATAAAGTAATCACTGTCGTAAATCCAACTTTTGCTACCAAAACCTTCCTTCATGTGACACATGTAGCCCTAAGCACTGATTACAGAGAAAACCCACCTCCTGCAGTTTACCTAGAAATGGCACAAACTCTGTGTATTACCTATGTTTTTGTATCTGCTTTCATTTCAACACATGTTTTTTGTGTGAAATTTCACTTAAAACATAAATATTGTGGACATGATGTTCATTGTACTTTTGATTGAGAAACTGGTGTTCAACCAGAAACCAATTACATAATGTCACATATAAAAGTTGTAGACGTAATTGAATTTATTTATTATGTATTGCCCCTTGAGATGAATCCTCTCTTTTTCGAGGGGGTCCATGAAATGTAGTAATGTCTTTAGGGTTGCATAAACTACAACACTTTTTCTCTCAACTTAGAGACATAATGGTTCTCAGAGGACCCAAGGCATTGTCATCATAAATTGTCTCTTCCAGCCATATACAATTCAACGACTTCATTCTTTCTATCTGTACCCAGGACTCCATTAACAACTCCAGTGCCACTCTGAAAGCCGAGCTCGAGTCGTGTCTGGATGAAAATCTGCAACTGCGGGAGCTGCACGACCGAATGAAGAAAGAGTTAAATGAAACGCAATCTGAGTAAGGGCAGAAGAATACGCTCTCTGACACACATAGCACCAGGAAACAGGAGCCCTATAGTACTTTGAGCAGTGTACATGGTTTGAACAAGACGGGCCTTGTCGTCAGCCATCCACTGCCACCATTTTAATAAACATGCACTTATTATTGCTGACTCAAACCACTGTGATAAGTGATAAATGCAGTTTCAGTCAAACATGGATGCTATCTTTTATTTTTTGTCTCAGGCTGACGCAGCTGCGCATGGACAGGGAGATTGCTGAGGCCCACGCCAGAAACGTGGAAGACCAACTGGCTGAGCTTCAAGATGAGATGAGAAGAGAAAACAACAACAAAACAGTAATTCTTTTTCCCCAAATTAATTACTCACAATGGACGGCTGCATCATCAAAAAATTGTGTAAATTCAATGTAGGCTGTGGAATGGGGCACTATACAATTTTACTGTGACAATGGGTGGGCGACATGCCAAAAACATAATTTGCTCTTGCTTTCTCTGAGCCAAGTCAATTATATATTAAAGCACTTTTTTACACTTTTTAATACTTTCTTGTAATCCATCATTTGGCCAGTATTCATCTATGATCTATCATAGGTTTAGAGACCTATTAAGCAGAACTAATGAAAGAGTTTGAATTCTAGCTTCAGTCCTTATAGAACTGAGAATGAAAACATCTTGATTAGTCATTGTTCAGATGACTACATTTGAAACCCTTCCTACTCTTTTGTATCTTGTGGCTTCTTATCTTCTACTGGAAGGACACAAATCACAATAGTTTGCTATCTAAAAAGTTGCTGATAATCTTTTTGTGAAGGCCATTTACAGTTACTTTGTATACATACATTTTGATATAAAAGCAAAACCAAATTGGGTTGTAATTTTTTTGTTATCGCCCATTCCATCCTGAGTCAGCAAAAATGTTTCATATCAAATACCAAAGAGGAAACAACTTAAGCATTTTTGTAGTGTCAGATTTGCACCTGCAGTCTTTATTACATTCTAAGTCAATACAAAAACAACTTCAGTGATGGGAAACTACAACAAAATGGGCTGTTGTGGTTGTTCAGCCTTTTTAATGGAAGTGCTTCCTGTGTTTAGGAGCTAGTATCTTGCCAAAACGAGATGACAGAGATCCATCAGGCCAAGCAGAAGCTGGAGGACAGTCTGAGGCAGCGAGAGAGGGAGCTCACGGCCCTCAAGGGGGCGCTGAAGGAGGAGGTGGCGTCCCACGACAAAGAGCTGGAGAGCCTTCGAGAGCAGTACAGTGCTGACATGGAGAAGCTCCGCAGCAGCATGGAGCAGGTGTCCCAGGTACCTGCTCAGTCAGCACAAACAATAAGAGTCATCTGTTACAGGGGAGGCTGCAAACCGCTCTAATGGAGAAGTCTTGAGTCGGCACAAAAGCACCAAGCAGCATTTTGGGGGAAAAGCTGAATAGCAAATTAAAGATAGTTTCCTTTGAAGCCTCTCTCAACATATTAGCTTGTTGTAACCATCTATTTACATCTATCTTGACTATTTTGAATGGCAAAGTAAATTCTATTAACAGTGTTTTTTATTAATCAGATTATAGCTGCCTGCCATACGCCTTGGTTTTTTTAAACACTTGCTACGTTCCACTGATCTCGGAGCACTGCGAGTCTGTGCGTGGACACTGCAGCTTCTGGAGCGGTTTTCTGACAATCAGCCTTATGAGTTCACAGTCTATTTATTGAAGACTTGTTTATTTGCACAAGTCTGAAAGGGAATTCTCTTGTCTTTGTAGTCTCATGCAGGTATTGAGGCCGAGCGGCTTCGTGTCAACGCTTCTGTGCGCACTCTTCAGCAGCAGTTGGAAGACTGCAGAGATGAGAGCAGCCACTGGATGGAGCAGTTTCACAATACAAAAGATGAGCTGCGAACCTCCAAACAAGAGTGAGTGAGGCGGATCAGAATATTATGTCAAATATTTTGGGACTCGTCTTATATAAATAACAAGTGCGTCATCGAGCACCGTGATAACGCGCCTCAAAATAGTGTTGTGAGTTAGGAAGGAGCTCAGAAAAAATTGGAGAAGAAGCTTGTATGCTCCTTTTATAGCTTCTGAATGCATCTGCCTAGTGTTCTTTTGGTTGACCCCATCATGTGGCTCCAAAGGAGGTAGAGGACAGTGGCTACTCAGTTGGTCCTTAGTACGAGGCGTTTAACCTTTTGCTGCTTTTTTGTGTGTGTGTAATTTTGCTCTTTTTACAGTGTGCTTCCCATGCACCTCATGTATACTCCAACAACATCATATAAATATAAAATGACAGTGGACTCCTGCGGATCCTGCTCAGTCCTGCTCCTCAGCGCCGTGTCCTCTGCAGCTCTAGTTTAGCAGTGCTTAGAACTACAACAAACACGTTTGATATCTCCTGCACTTGAGCAGTCGTGAGTTCAGGTTGTTAGAAAAGTGTACAGTGTGTGGTGAGGGTTTTACAGCCTTAAAACGTAAAGCTGCTACTACTTTTTATAACAAAACGAGAGTGATAAACGAGAGACCACTGTACTTTGGACTATCCAGACCCAGCCCTTGTGTAACCCTTAAAGACAACAAAGGTTTACTAAAAATGTAACTAATTGGTTAGTTTTTAAAGGTGTCGTTTGGTGCATGCACTTCTCCACTAATGTTTCTATTTTCTTTTTTCTTTCTGGCGTTCCCTCAGTGAGACGCCCGTCAACCCTGGCACAGAGTGAGACTCAAACAGGAGATGTGTGTGTTTGCTGGCTGTAGCTCAGGCTGTAGTTGTACTAACCCCTGTTTGTAGCTGCTTTTAGCTGCAAAGTCATCCACAACCTGTGAAGTGTAGAGGACTACAGGTCCTTTTATGATGCTATACTCACGCCTTGATGTCATTCTTCTGACTAAACCCTGTGAATTTGTCTATACAATTCAACACGATTAATTACACAAACCAACTGAATCTTTTTGGTATTATTCGAACCACAATCGCTCCTCAGCATGACAACAGGTAGAGCAGACTACATGCGTTCTATTACGAGTTGACTTGTTTCACAATTAAAATAATGTACATGTGCATTAAACACTTTGAATTGAAATAACTTTTGTCATATGCGTAACATCCCTGACAGCTCAGTGACGTCTCTTATCAGGAAATAATCAGAAAGAAAAGATTACAAGTTACATGGTGCACGTCATTCTGCATGCACTGAGGGCATGTTAAAAGTTGTGGATGCTCTTCTGTGTTTAGAAATGCATTGTTTTCAGATCTTCACACAGTGCAAACCTCTGATTTAAATGTCCCTTTTACATAATCTATTTGCATCAAGAATAATAAAAGATTGCGTCACTGTTTACGCCAATCCAAACCATCCTGATTAAACATTAATGTGATGGATTTAATATTGTTTTATAAAATGTTTTTGTTTTTGCCGGTTTTAGACTTTTACAAATCCGTTTGGAAAAAGACGAGTTTGAAGAAGAACTGAAGGAGATGAAGGGAAGGGTCACATCCATGAAGCAACAGTCGGCACCGGACTCCACCCAGGCTCTGGACCAGGTAAACGCTACATTTATTATTTGGCGTTGAAGTAACCAAATTAATTCAACAAATATCAATCAACTTTTATCTGTGGAGGGCCTTTTCTACACAAGGCAACAAGGCGCCTCACAACCCATTTCACATCAGGCATAAATCATAAACATTAAGGTTGTTATTTAACAAACTTATACTCTTATTTAGACCCACAAAGTTGTAGATATGGTGGTACTTTGAACGTTTATATTATATCTATTTCAGACAAATGCATCGATTTGGTTATGGATGAAACTATGAGCAAACTAAAACCATTTATGTTTAATAAATGTTTTCCTTTGATCCAGGAGCTCAAGAGGTGCAACGCAGACCTTCAGAAAGCCAGACTGGAAGTGGAAAAGCAGCGGACTCAGTTTGATAAGAAAGTGATGGAGATGATCGCTCTGAAAAAGGGTCATCAGGGTCAAGAGGCTGAGCTGAAATATGAGATCGATCGACTGAAGGACCAGCTGCAAAGAGCCAAAGGAGAGTTTACCAAGGAACAGGAGAAAAGCAAAAATGTAAATCCATTCTATCTAATCTATTCTTTACAACTATTCCTGTATCCAGAATGTGATCTGGATCATTTTTTAAATCTAACAGTTTTTTCCATTGAGGTATCTCGCTAATTAATAACAAACAAACCCCAGCTAAAACATAACCCCCATGGTTGTGTTGAAATAGCTGGAATTGTGTCTTAAATCAAACAAAGTTCACTTTTGTCCAGATTTGTGACTTCACTAGACAGATTTTGAGATGTTCAGCACTATTTTTAGGGTTGAGATGAAAACTGCTGTGTTTGCATGACTCTATGGAGCTTCAGAAACCCTGGTCTATGACATTAATAACTTTAGATATTGCAAGTCACAGAGAAATTAGGACCAACAGCCTGAAACTAGAGGTGCATTCACACACTTCACTTTGGACATGGGATGAACCAATACCCATGCTGGTATTGGAGCATTGCTGATGATCCAGAATGAAATTGCTACTGATTGCTTGAAATAAACCCAGAACGTCTGATAGTTTTTTTTTTCCCTCATACAAAGCTGCTCTGTAATTACTTGCAGCATAAATATATTCTTCTTATTATAGGTTATAGATTGCTTCCTTATAGTGCTTAAACTACTGTGGGATGAATAAAGGATCTCTCTTAATCTTAAGAACAATAAGAAATGGACCCATTCTGTAAGTTGTGCTGTGATTTGAGAAGATAAACTGGTTTTCAGTCTGTTCGCATGGAAATCCAAATTATGGAAATCAATATTGGGCATGTTGGGCATGTACTGGTGTGTTCTCTTTTTTAAGTGAACCACGTTCTGAAGAAATAAAAAAGTTTGAACTCGTCCTGGGGTTCGAATAGAACCAAACCAGGTGTAAATCAGGGCTGAAATCAGGGCAAACGTAAAAAATCCACAGAAACATGCACAAGTCCAACTGTTTAACTTGCTTTGGCTCTTAGCTGCCAGACCCGGCCACCATGGCAGATTTGGAGCAGCGGCTCAGCGAGGCGAGAAGTGAAGGCAGCCAGCTGAAAGAGCGGCTCTCAGCACTGGAGAAGGAGCTGGAGGCCACGAGGACCCAGCTGAAGAGCGCCGAGCTGGACGTGAAAGTGGCTGAAGACGCTCAGAAAGCTCAAGAAGAGGTCACCACACGCCTCAAAGACAAAGTGTCACGTTTGGAGGTAACAAAGTCCCTAACGTATAACACAGTATCATAAGATCACAATGGAGAAATGTACGTGTCACATTTGGCATGGACAGAATCATTCAGGAAATGTGCAAACATGTTAAAAAGGTTACAAATATAGTCCCTTTTGTGCAAGATATTTTATTTGCAATAATATATCTTGAGCATAAACTAGTGTATGATGGTTTGACTGAAGCAATTATTTGACTAAAAATGAATATAAATCAATAAACAAATGTGTCTCTGAAACTAACACATGGAACAGTTGAAATCTTGTTATATTATTCTTTTTATTTTTCAGTCTCAATTTATATTTAAATGAATAAATTAAAAACTTCCTCATTCTCAGAGAAGAGAAAAGCAGGGGGAAATTTAAAAAAGGGTTACTAGTCTTAATAACTAAAAAAAAAAAGTTTAAATAGTTACCCAATAAAAATCTAAAAAACATTTTAAATGGTGAACTAAAAAGTGCTATTAGTAGTAATATATTAGGGAATTAGTGGAAATTATTATTTGTATTATGAATAATGATATTGAAACAACATACGTATAATAATAATAAACATGATATTGTGATAAATTTAGTAAACATAAAATAATAGTGAAAATAATTAAACTGCATTGAAACTCTTTGCTCACTATATTTCAGTTTTAAACAGTATCAGTCTTTTGTTAGGGGTAAATGTTTCCACTTTTTGTGTTTTGATATTTATCACAATTGTACCTTATGTGTGTTATTGAAAATCTTTTAAATGGCATTAATTAAGATAAATCATCTCAATGTGTGCAGTGAAATGGACTTCCTGCATGTGTCCAACCAGGAACTTAATCATAATCTTTGTCAGAATACAGCTTGTTTTCAGCTGAACCCTACAGTAGACGAACTTTCACATGGAGCAGAAATATAATGAGCACTTGTTTGGCCGGTCCAGGGGCAGCTGCAGAACAATGCCACAGAGAGTTCAGAAGCAGAGCTGGCTCTTCACTCCGAGGTCAGAGGGCTGAGGACAGAACTGGACGAGGCCAAAAGAAAAGCCTCCAGACTCAACCAAGAACACAGTGAACTGGTCTTCAGGCTCGACAACACAGAGAAAGACAAAGATGCACTGAAGCAGACCACACTTCAACTGGAGGACAAGAAACAGCAGCTGGCAAAAGCTCTGGACAAACTCACTAAAGAGGTGAGAAGTGAGCACTTGACAACATTGATAGATTCAACATAAAACATCTGACAGTGATCACATTATGTTTCTATTCGTCAAACTGTTTTGGTTAAGGTCTCAGGACAACACTGTATCGTCTGTATCGCTTTTGTGACTGTAGATGCTATTATTTATTCATTTTATTTATTTTGTTTAGCTTACATTTAAGCAGTTTATAAACCATCGAGTTGAAAATTCTCCTTAGAACTGCAAGAATGACCTGTCCAAGTGGCAGCAGCACAGGATCATCACATTTCACTTACTACAGGCAAAGAACAGTATAATAAGGCAACAATGGTCATGGTCATTATCGTAGCTTTCTGTTGCCAGTCTCCTGCGCCCATATAGTTTATCTGCATCTTTAAATATGATCATGTCTTAACTTAAATGTTTTTACTCACTCCACACGTGGTGGTTGTACTATTGTCACCACAGCATTAGTTGACCACCTGGCCCTGTATGACCGACAAATTTAACAATTAGTCAGTTTATATATTTTATGTATTTGACTTGTTATAGAGGACTCCATGGGTTGTTTGATTAAAAATATATTTTTTATGCTACATTTATAGAAATAAAAATCTATTTCAATCATTTACACTTTTTTAATACACTTTTCCCATGGTCTTTGTGTAGATATGGTTGTTTTGATGTGTAGTTTATGTATTTTCAAAACGCCAACGTCACGATTGTCTCGTGAATGGCCCTGTGTACCGCCCCCGCCTCTAAAGCGTGTTGGCGTGTGGTGAATGCCTTTGAAGCCCTGACCGCCTCCTCTGTCCCCTGTGCCAGTTTGAGTCTTTGACAGTGTCCTCAAAAGAAGAGGTGCAAGCGCTCAGAGTTCAGCTGGAGGAGCAGAGGGAGAAGGCACGAAAGGAGGTCCAGGAAGTCCAGCGACACGGCACAGACGCCCAGACAGAACTGGACCGCAGCCAGAGCAGCATCAGGCGAATGGAGGAGGAGGTCTGTGTGTGACTCTAGAGACATAACATGCTAAATAACTGTCTTTGAATCACAATAGTGTATTATATTCTTGGTTTCATTTCAGAAGATATACTGTAGCATTTAGACTTTATCTAATCATAGCTTGTTTAAGTACATTATCATTCAGAGTACAATATATTGTATTCTTTAAATACAGAGAGCTGATTGGCTGAGGTTGATCCTTTTTATGCCTTGTGAATCTAGACATTACATAAATACAAATATCCTCCCTGGACCTTTTCATTTGCGTTGGAGGTTAGTTAATTATTTCATACATTGATGACTTGTGCTCAGATGTCTCGGCTGAAGAAGGAACTGCTTCTGGCCTGTGAAGAAAGAGACAACCATCAGCTGGACAAAGAGCTAATGATGAACCGAATGCGCCACCTAGAGGGAGAACTGGAAAACGGCAAGAACAGCCTCAATGAGAAGATACGAGAGGTTCGCCTCCTGGAGGTGAGGGCACTTTTATTTGGCTCAAAAAGGTTCATTTTGTCTTGAGTTAAAATGCTTTTTGTGGTTCAGACAAGAAAGGCAAGTTAGATGTATTACCTTGTTAACATGTTTCGGCCCTTTTATTTGTATTTTTTTTTATTTCCTCATTACTCATCTGAATAAACACATGCTGCGAAATGGACTTTCTTAAACAATAGTACGACATCATCAAAATTTAATTTTGTTTCAGTTCTAAAACATAAATTGTCAATGAAAATGTTGTACTACTACTTTATGAAAAGTGAAGTCAAATTGGGGCCACGTTGTTTTGCAGGTAAGCTGTTAATGCAGGGATGTCAAAGTCAAATACATCAGAGGGCCAAAAAACACATTTGCTACAAGCCTAGGGCCGGACTGGTTCAATGTTTATTAAAACATTAAACATTAAAAATATTGCATATAACCTACCGAACCAAGACCTAACACAGAGTACCGTGTTTTGACAATTAGCATAGTCTGTGTGTCCATATCAAATCATATAATATTGTGTGATTGTATTTCCAGGACAAGTTGAAGCGTCAGGAGTTGGAGCTGGAGGAGGAGAAGAGCAGTGTGGAGATGCTCACGGAGAGACTGTCCCGCAGCAGAGACCAGATCGACCAGCTGCGCTCCGAGCTCATGCAAGAACGATCCAGCAAACAGGACCTGGAGCTGGACAAGAACGCCATGGAGAGACACGTAAGGAGACCTCCCCCCATCGCAGATCCACACCAATGTCTGCATACAGTTACAATATACAGTACAAGACAAGAGAGGCTTCTGTCACCATGGTAATTGTGGCATTCAGTTGTGGTGGATCTTCGCTACAAAAAAATTATAAAAGATGAGGTAATAAATGCTTGAATTAATCTTAATTTGAGTACATTCTGACTGTCTTAAAACAAGATTTGCCAATGGGACAAAGCCATTTATTTTTATTTCAAGAACTGTTGCTTTATTTTATCATTCCAAGGGAGACATTTCTTGTATCTTTCTGAAAACAAGATAATTCTGATTGTCCCATTGGCAAATCGTGTTTCAAGGAACTCTGAGGATCAGCGTCTCTGTTCAAACATGTGGTCGATCCGGACTTGACACTAGAGCTTTAAAGGAATCCTCTCTGTGAAATGACAAAAAAACAGTTCAAAAACAACATGGCCGCCTCTCCACAGATCTGACCTGTGATTCTAAAATAGTTGTTTTAGTTGAAGGAGCTGAGGAGTCGATTAGCGGACATGGAAGGCCACAGTCGCTCTTCAGTCGGACTTTCACAACTGGAAAACAAGATCCTGGAGTTGGAAGAGAGACTTCGCAGTGAGGAGAGGTAAATATGTGACTAAATTCTGTGGGGTGTGTGTAACGCAACGTAAAGAGAGGATTCAAATGTTTGTGTTCTGTTGTAAAGGGAGAAAAACACAGTGTTGGCAACGCAACGTCGTCTGGAGAGAAAACTGAAAGACCTCAACCTGACGCTGGACGAGGAGAGACACAACCACTCTGAACAGAAGGATCAGGTTAGAGGCACTTCTTTGGATTGTTTGAATGTCACCATGAGACAAGAAAGGGAAAAGAACAAATTAAAGCTGTTTTTTTCTGTTTCACATGTATATACACAGAAAAAGTTTTGTCAAGTAACAGTTCATAAACAAACTAGAAAAAAATAAAGATGTGACCGGCCAAACATACATGAATTTGAAAACTAGTGATACAGATTAAAGAATGAGGAGCGAGTGGATTTTACTACACATTTATTGTCTTGTGGTTTCTAAATTAGGTACCCCAGCTTTACGAGCATAAGAGCTATAGATAGGTCACATTATTTGCTATTTTTTCTTTTGTAACAACAAGGAATATATAACATTTGGGACACCTATTTTTAGCTCCACCAGGACGGTTCTGGTTTCATCTGGAGTTTTTGTCAGTTAACTCAAAGTCTAGGGAGAATTCATGCAAATATGAATGATGTCGTTTTTTAATACCTCTTGATTTCCTTGTTCAGAATTCAGATGACTCTTTTCAGATGGCTTTTAGTAATCAAATTGGACAAGAAATATAAATTTTCTATAACACATTTAACACATACAAGTCTGTGTTTTCACTCTCTGCATGTATGTAATGTTGTATGTATGACTGTATGTATGTAAAGTATGTATGTATGTATGTATGTATGTACAAAAAAAAGTATTTAGTCAGCCACCGATTGTGCAAGTTCTCCCACTTAATTTTCATCATAGGTACGCTGCACTGTGAGAGACAGAATGTGAAAAAGAAATCCAGGAATTCACATTGTAGGATTTTTAAAGAATTTATTTGTAAATTATGGTGGAAAGTAAGTATTTGGTCACTTAAAACAAGGAAGATCTCTGGCTCTCACAGACCTTTAACTTCTTCTTTAAGAAGCTCTTCTGTCCTCCACTCGTTATCTGTATAAAAGACACCTGTCCACAGCCTCAAACAGTCAGACTGCAAACTCCACTATGGCCAAGACCAAAGAGCTGTCGAAGGACACCAGGAAAAGAATTGTAGACCTGCACCAGACTGGGAAGAGTGAATCTACAATAGGCAAGCAGCTTGGTGTGAACAAATCAACTGTGGGAGCAATTATCAGACAATGGAAGACATACAAGACCACTCGATCTGGGGCTCCACGCAAGATCTCATCACGTGGGGTCCCGTGCTAAATGACCTGCAGAGAGCTGGGGCCAAAGTAACAAAGGTTACCATCAGTAACACACTACGACGACAGGGAAACAAATCCTGCAGGACCAGACGTGTCCCCCTGCTGAAGCCAGTGCATGTCCAGGCCCGTCTGAAGTTTGCCAGAGAGCACATGGATGATAGAGCAGAGGATTGGGAGAATGTCATGTGGTCAGATGAAACCAAAGTAGAACTGTTTGGTATAAACTCAACTCGTCGTGTTTGGAGGAGTTGCATACTGAGTTGCATCCCAAGAACACCATACCTACTGTGAAGCATGGGGGTGGAAACGTCATGCTTTGGGGCTGTTTTTCTGCTAAGGGGACAGGACGACTGATCCGTGTTAAGGAAAGAATGAATGGGGTCATGTATTGTGAGATTTTGAGCCAAAACCTCCTTCCATCAGTGAAACGTGGCTGGGTCTTCCAGCATGACAATGATCCCAAACACACCGCTCGGGCAACGAAAGAGTGGCTCCGTAAGAAGCATTTGAAAGTCCTGGAGTGGCCTTGCCAGTCTCCAGACCTCAACCCCATTGAAAATCTGTGGAGGGAGTTGAAAGTCCGTGTTGCTCGGCGACAGCCCCAAAATATCACTGCTCTTGAGAAGATCTGCATGGAGGAATGGGCCAAAATACCAGCTACTGTGTGTGCAAACCTGGTAAAGACCTAAAGTAATCGTTTGACCTCTGTTATTGCCAACAAAGCTTATATTACAAAGTATTGAGTTGAATTTTTGTTATTGACCAAATACTTATTTTCCACCATAATTTACAAATAAATTCTTTAAAAATCCTACAATGTGAATTCCTGGATTTTTTTTTTCACATTCTGTCTCTCACAGTTGAAGTGTACCTATGATGAAAATTACAGACCTCTGTCATTATTTTAAGTGCACAATCGGTGGCTGACTAAATACTTTTTTGCCCCACTGTATGTATTGTTGTATTTATGACGGTATGTATGTATGTATGTATGTGTGTATGTGTGTGACTGTATGTAGCATGCAGTATGGTCACCTTTAAAAATCCGTACATTCCTTGCTCCTGTATAAACCCCCTTCCCCCGTGTGCAGTTAACGCTGAAGGTGAAGGCTCTGAAGCGGCAGGTCGACGAAGGGGAGACTGAGCTGGAGCGTGTGGATAACCTGCGCCGAAAAGCCCAGAGAGACGCAGAGGAGCAGATGGAGCTGAGGGAGACGCTACAGAGCAGAGTGTCAGCCCTCGAGACAGAGCTCAAGTAGGAACTCTATTATCTTTTAAAAGCTGCATCTTTTTTGAAGCGAAAACCTTTTTTTTTGTATCGCACATTACGTACACAATCATACACGGACACTATATGTGCTTAACTACAGGTGACATAAATCGAGAGGTTCTTGGCTTCAAAACAATACATATGACGAGTAAGCATTAGCAGAGCTTAAGTTGACTGGATGACATTTTGGTCTTTGGGTTTAAGAACTTGATGGCTGCTTTGAGTTAGCATGATATTTTGTATATTTTCCAGAACTAGTCCAGAACTAGTCCAGGACCACTCCCGGATCAGCACCAATTGAGCATGGGGACTTTAACTGCTATAGAATACAAGATCATTTCTTGTATTAAAAAAAGAAAGTCTAATCAACATAGAAATATACTTTATAGAGATAGAGAAAAAGTCATAAAGTTGTGAAGACCCAAAATATGTATATGCTGAGTAGTTATACTTCCAAAACTAAAAGCCATCAAATTGATTGAGTCCAGTATTAACCAGCAGAGTCTTGTCTGTGTAACTCTGTGACGGACACCTGAGTGACCTGTGCCCCTGGGCTGTTTGTTTCAGCTGCGTGTGCTCATTCCTCACGCTCCACTGAGAAAATTAAATGATGAACGAGTGTAGCATGTAGTTTTGCATGTAACCACTAGAGGGAGAGCCATAGTCAGTAAACGGGAAAATAGTCACAATACTGCTTGAATATAGATTTGGAGAACAGGAAATTCCTATATGATCATTTATGAATTTTACATTCAGATTTTCACACTGATGGCTTGTAAATTTTTCCAGAGTGAGATCAATAAAGTCTATCTTGTCTCATCTTATCTCTCCACGTTCAGACTTATTCAGACTATTTTATTATAGTGAGCAGTTTAGTTCAAACCTCACTGTGTTTGGAGACGGGACGTTTCCTCATACCGCATAAAAATGAAACTTTCTTTGTGGGCAAAACTCTCTTGAATCCTTTGAATCTCAATTGAAACCTAATTTTACGCAATAGTACCAAAGATTATTTTACAGCTGATGACATTCTCTTGTGGCAGTATTTCCAATAGAGTTATTTTATTTATTCATTTATTTTTTTAAAGGAGGAACTATGCATTTCAAAATTCTTTTTACAAATGTTAATAAGACCCATTATAGCCTTAGACTAATTTCCATCTGCAGACTCTCTGGAAGGTCAGTGTTACATAGAAGTTAAAACATGTATAAATACACAGAGAATAGAGGGACAAGGATGAGAACAGACCATATGTTTGCACTAACGTTTACCTGTGCACGACAAAGTAGAAAATGCCTCAACTGTATTGCACATACTGACTGTCCTGATATTGCACTGACCATTGCATCTCCTGAGTCTCTGTTTAAACGTAACAGTCATTTATTGTATACAGTTTATCGTAGTGATTTTTTTAATGTTAATTTGTGAGTTTAAAGTCGGTTCATAAAGGAGATTGTTTATTGTTGATTGTTGTTGCAGGAGGAAGACCCAGGCCTCCATGCGCCCGGCCCTGGACTCCTCTGCCCTGAGCTCAGACGACGACGACAGCCTGTTCGACCACTCCAGCATCACGTCCATCCTCACCGAGAGCAACCTCCAGACCTCCTCCTGCTGACCCCCGTGCAGGAGCATGAGACCCCTGCAGGAGCCCCGACTGAAACTCTGGTCGGAGTAGGGGAAAACCCAACCCCACAAATAAAGAGGAAGAGGTCGTTTTCATCTGTGTGTGTTCGTCTGTGTGCGTGCGTTTGTGTGTGCGTCTGTGTGTATGGTAATTGCACTTTGGAATGCACTACTCAAAGGTACTGGACACGAGAATGAATAGCAGGAAGTCCTCAGCGGCTTCCTCTTGGGCATACTACACATGTACGTCAGGCTTTGGAACGCACTCAAAAACGCATAGACCGCTCTAACTCAATATAGTTTCGTTTACTTTAAAGCTGGGGTACCTAACTTTTAAACAAATAAATAAAACATAGTAATTTGCCCCAGCAGGATGATTCTAGAAGTGAAATATTGTGAACGAGTCATACCACAACATACTGGGTTCATATTGTTGAAGTTATCGATCGCATATGTGTAAGAAAGAGCCCTGTGAGTCACAATTTGACGCTTTGGCCGCAGAGAGAAACCTGATGGAGTGAGGGTGGTCCTCTCTGTTTCACGTTTCTGTCTGAAAAATGCTGATTAAAAGTGTGTAAAATGTGTTATAGGCCAAAAAAACGATGTGAAAACTAGTGATAAAACTAAACTGTTTCAGAGTCAGGAACCAGACAGATGGATTTCATTACGTTGTTGTATATTTTGAGGTTTGAAAGTTAGGTACCCCAGCTTTATGGAAAACTTCACATTCTCCTTTCTGCTGTATAGTGATCATCCATTACACATGTGGTTCATTGGTTATATTATTTAGTACCTTCGAAATCTCAGTTGAGCTAAAACGTCATAATTTCCACGCACATCAGTTCTGCTCACACCATCCATGACCTTCAGTGGATTTTTTTTCCTTTTAATCAACGGCTGTGCAACTGTCCCGAATCCTCTGAGTATCATATCACAGATTGAGAGAAGACAGTTGTGGGTTTGTTGCCGGGGCAGTTGGGAGAGCCTCAAACTCTACTGGATTGGTGCTTTTGCTTTTGGTTTTGGAGCTGGAGCAATCTATTTGTGAGAAACGTAACCATTGTTCATGTACAGTTAATTGTAGATCGTGAAGCTGCCTGTCACTCGATAAAACGGCAAAAGCACTTTTTTTAATGGAAAAGGACGGAAGAAATACCTCTATTGTTTGATTGTAAGTAGGGTTAGACTTTTTGATCAAGTCTGTTATGATTTTTTTTTTATGAAAGAACTTTATAATAACTAAAATTTACTTGTTCCATTGTATTTTCTAATTTCAAAAACGGTTGGCTTTGGTTTGTTTTGTTTATTGTTTGTGCTTTTTTTTACTATACTTTGCACCAAAAGTGGTACTACTCACGCTTAACATTATTAAAACAACTGTATGATTTATAGATTGAGGAATGTTTTTGTCACTTACAAAATTAGCCAAACTGATTGGTTCGAAGCTGCACTATTTCTATGCACCGTTTTGTTAGAATCCTTGTGTTTGTTAATAATATTTTTACACACAATTTATATTTGTATCATACTTTGTACAATCAGAAAAAACAATTTTTTCTATATTTTCCTGCCGATAAAATGCTGTAAATAAATTTATTGTGTTTGTGACTGTGAGGCTTATTTTTTTGCTACAATAAAAATTTTTAGAAATCATCTGCGTTTCTTTGGAGGAAATGAAAAACCAACCACTTCCTTATTATAAATGTTTTCCAGAGAATGTCTTTGTTAAAAGGTATGGAATGAAGAGGTGTGTTTTTGATAACGACTGATAGACTTCTGAAGAATCTAGAGTGTTGCGCAAAGACCTGTTAAATCTGATTATGTCATTTGTTTCTACAACCTGCACTGATGCAGAAGAGGTCGAATAAGTTTGGAAAAAAGATCCACAGCACACGTGAGACTCGGAAAATAAGAATATTGTTCAAAAGTCTATTTACTTCTGTATTTCAACTTACAATGTGAAACTAAAGTATGAATGACTGTTATATAGATTCCCCGTGATCAAAAGTCGCCTACGCCTGTTTGTGTAACTCCTCCAGTTGTTTTTGTGATGCTGTAATCATTATTCACTGAATATTCTGGTATTTTTAAAGATTTCTCCGTCAGATGGTATTTGTTTATCATTCTGGTCAGGTTTGACTTTACTCACACACAGAGGTCACGGTGTTCAGCGTCTGCAGAGGTCATGGTCTTCCTCCAGGACCTACTCTCAGATTAGTCTGAATTTGTCCTCAATTACAAACACAGATGAAACTTGGAAAAATATAACAAACAAAGGCTTGACAAACAATTACATGCAAAGTGTCATAAATGTGACATTTGAGGTTCAAATACAGAAATAAACGTACTTTTGAACCATATTAAAATGGACCCGTGTTTTCTCTCATCCTGGAATGTTCTTAGTGTTATCAGAAATAGAAAAAGGGCACTCTAGTCAAAGGAGGCTTGTTTCTCAGAGTATAAAGCTGGGTACCCAACTTGTTTTATAGAAGTTGTGGAGAGAGACACACACACGTGCGCACGCACACACACACACACACGCACACACACACACACACACACCAGCTCACTCTTCTCCTGCAACACAAAACATTTGAACTAAGGGACAGCGGGATGAATGCCCCGTGTGAAGCTGCTCTGTGGTTCTGTTCGTTGCCAAATATTCATACCAATGTTTATGACAGGAACAAATTAGTTATTTGATATCAACATCTTACATTCACTGTGGGAAACTCGGTGGTTTACTAATGTAGCATCCACCGCATGGATCCCATTACAAGCTGCACTAAAACTAATAACACTTTATTATAAAACATACTGAAGTAACTTGTGTTTTGACTTAAAGTAACAAAATGTAAGATTTTTATGTCAAGTCATCATTAAATGACCCTAATCTGTCAAAAGGCATTAATAAACCATGCTCTTTTTGAATATTTCTTTAACTGAAAACAAAACTTCAGCCGAGAAGTCCAAATATCGCCCTCCACCGTTCTAACAATCAGAAAGTCCGCAATCCAGGGTTGCCAGAAATCACTGCGTCAAGCTAATCTCACTGGTAAAGTAACATGTGGCCACTGTACTAAAAAATGTCTCATTATGATTCTCAAATCATTACTGACAAAACAAGGAATAAAATAAGGATTTTTATCTGGGCCTTTGTGAAAAAGGTGTTTTTTTTTAGATTTGTTGTTGACAAAACTCTTGTCTATTCAGCTATTGTGGTCCCAGCTGGATTCTTCTGCATATCTGGCAACCTGAGACAGGGAGAGTACATTACTACTTATGGCCAGATTTTTATATACTGCTCCTTTAATGTTACTGTAGTAACTTTGAAGAAAATTACATAAGATGCACAGGTATGGGATCGTGTCTCAGTAATTACACAAGTAATTTTATTTTTGGTAAAAAGACAAGTTTTGCAGCGTGCATGTGAATTTAAGTCCGACATATCAAGGACGCTCATCCGACTATCTGTAACTTTGACCTTCAGATAACCAAAACATTCAGTGGAAAATCACTGTTGTCATGACAAGTTCAGTTTTAACCAAAGTTGCATCAAAAGTGTCATAAAAGATCCATAGTTTGACTTTGACCCTCTGCTGATTCCCTCAGAACACATTACAGACACGTTGTTGAAGCCAAAGTCAATGAACCGGTTTCTCGTGTTGATAAAAGGATCTTCACAAACGGTGAGCCAATTGAAAATATTAATTCCTTCCGTTGTGAGAAAAAGCAGCTGCTACACTGCAAAAAGTGATAGAAAATAATTCGAAAATTGTTCAAATGTGGCAAAATGTATCTTCATTTGAGCACATTTACACTGGACTAAAACAAGAATTGCCAATGGGACAAAGCAAAATTATCTTGCTTTAAAAATATACAAGAAATGTCTCTGCTGGAATGAGAAAATAAAGCATCAGTTCTTAAAATAAGACAAAATGGCTTTGTCCCATTGGCAAGTTTAAGACAGTCAGAATGTACTCAAACTGAGATAAAAACACTTAATTCAAGCAATTATTACCTCATAATGTACTATTTTTTGCAGTGTATGCTCTATCCTCCCCCTGACCTGGATGGCCTTCTCACCTGCACCGCGCCCTCCTCGCTCTGGTTTTACTGAAACTCCCGGTGTTTGCAGAGGATTATGTGGACTGTGTATGGTGCAGTACAGAGACCTGCTTTGTGACAGCTGTAACAGTGACTGATGGAGCTCCTGCCGCCAAAAAGTACAGGACGACCTCGGACAGGACGTTGTAGTCACTGTGAGAAGAAACACTGATTTTGACGTAATGACTACAGCGCGATGACTTTGTTTGGGACTGTCGTTTTGTGGAGAATATGTGTTTTACAGTAGTACAAAAGTCATTACTGTACAAATCCACCTCAAATAATAATACAGTGGTAACACAAATCCATAACTATAACTACATGTGTTTTTGATCCAGTATTTGCTTCAGGTTGCCTATTTTTTGTTTAAATGTAGGTAGTTTTTAAGCCAACAAATAGATCAATATAGATGTACTTTTTATTTTTATTTTGAATATTGTTATAGCACCAACAAATCTTGCAGGATGTGGACTTGAGTCTCCACAAACCTGACTCGAACTTGTCCTGCAGGAGAGCATTCAGTTGCTTTCTTCTATGCAATTGCTTTCCTTTGGCAACAATCTTTGAGAATTTGCAATTTTTTTTACGCATGGAGAAAGTTGCGTAGCATTGATTTAAATAGATGATATAATGGCAGTGGTTTTGATTGACTGAATGGGTCCTTTGTCTGATTGAGTGATCTCACATATCACTGTGGGCTTGTCACTGCAGCTGTCATTCACACAATAGTGTTGTTGCCTCTGTTCTCAAAATCACTTTTCAATGACTGATAAAGACAAGATTGTTTTAAAAGTCTGTATAACTGTCAGACTGTACAATGAACAATGAGGACCAAAGAGCACTGCCAACCTGCTCTCACGTGTTATGCATCCGTGCAATAGTTTG